AAAGACCAAGCGGGCCTGGCCAGAATTTGTAGCTGGTGGGGGGAGGGGAAAGCTGGGCACATCACACTCACACACTGTGGTTCTTGATGTCAGCGGATGTCAGAACTCTAGACTTGGTGATGGGCTGCCAGTTTTTGTTGAGTCTAGCCCTGGGAGGAAAGGGATAATTGGAATCAGACAACAATTTGGGGCCTGGGCTTACAGTGCTGAGCTTTAGGGTTGGGCTCTAGGCCCAAGGGTGTGCTTCTGGAAACTTCTCCAAATAAGTTATCTTGGATCCCCCATACCTACCTCCTTATTTCCCAACCACATTAGTCAGCCTTGCCTATTAGACACAACTATCCATTCATGCATTCATTCCCACACTTTTCATTCAATAAACATTTACTGGGCACTTTCTATGTGCCAGATGCAGATACAACAATACATATGGTACAGCCCCTGACTGGAGGAGCTTGTGGGAGACAAGAAACAGACAGACATGGAAATTGGTCAACGCAACCAAGTGGTAAAGTGTGTATAGGTTGCATGGGGGCATAACGGAGAGGACCTTGATTTATCTCAAATTACGCACACCCCACGTATTCCTCTGCCACTGCGATCCGCTCAGTCCCTGAACCTGCTACTCATTTGTCTTCCCTTCACAAACTCTGCCACTATGTCCCTTGGAACATGCAACTAGACTTCCCAGTTCTTGCCACAAGTTGTCTTTCCACATCATAGCACTAACCAAAACCTAGCTTTCATATAAACGATGCCATTTTCCTCAAAAGCTTGTTCAGTGGTGTCTACTTTTTCTCCCACTTTCCCCACTATCACTGCTTGATCTCTAACATTATCACTTAACCACCTCGTCTCTGAAGTGCATGCCACTTGCTTCACACTACCCTTTCTCTACTTTTGGAGCCACGAAAATTCAACCAAAGCCATGAGAATTTTTCACCTCAGTATGCTTTTACATCTCCCAATAACCAACCTCTGCTATTGCCTGGCTGTATTCATTCACCTGCTTCCCACTCATGTTTCATGACCAGCCTGTACTCTGGATGGGAGTTTCTCCTACTACATTCAACGACATGCATTCAGTAAATATTTGTGCCAGGGAGTGGGTATTCATAGGCAGACAAATCACAGTCCCCACCCTCAGGGAGCTTGCAGCCCAGAGAAACAAGCAAGCTGTAAGAAGACTAGAAAGCAGGTGCTATTGGAACACAAAGAAGGGGAGTATCATTGTACTCCTTTCTAATCACTTCCTCTGCCTTTCTGATCCCGTTGTACCATATGGTCACCTAGAATCCCTGCCCTACTTACTCTTCAGGAGGTCTGCTTTGGGAATCCCTTTCTCTACCCTGCGTTGCTGAGAATTGTTGCAGAAAACAGTGCGACTATGTTGATCTAGCCTATTACAAATTGATGTTACATTCACTCATGTCTTCATGGTTCTGAGCAGTTTTTAACTTTTACTGATCCGCTAGTGCATTCTCCATGTTGATTTTTCAATTTTTCTGCTCATCTAAAGCCACCACCAGCTCCTCTCACAGCAAGAGTATTAACAGTGGTGATTAGACATCAGTTCCCACAACATTCCTCCTCCATACTTCGGGTCTTCTCTTTCTTCACCATGTTTTTCATCTTTTCTCCTGTTTCAGAAACGGACTCCTTTCATGGCTAGCCACTCCGTCTGTCCTTGATCTCCCATCACACCTTCTCTAGGCGTCTGGGAGGTCATTACTTCAATCATACCTTATCAATTCTTCTTTCTCCCCAGTATCTTCACTCTTGCACATTCACTGACTCTTTCCAACATCTGCCTAACAAACTTTTGTCTCTCCAACTACACATATGAAACAAAAACAAAAACCAATTTCCATTCAAACCAAAATCCTATTTCCCTTTTTTGAGACTGACAACTTTCTGAAAAGATTAATCTAAAATGTTCGGCTGCCTCCATTTTCTAACTACTAATTCTTCCATTCCTAGCAATCTGGTCTCTGCTTCCACCATTTTACTTAAATTGCTCACCAGATCATATAAATGACATCTCATTTGCCAAACTCCATTGATTTCCTTGTAATCAAAATACTTGACATCATTGGCCATTCCTCAATCTTGGCAGATTTTCCTTGGCTCCTGAGACATTCCTTAACTGAGACACTTTCCTACCTTTGTTCTCCATGCCTCTTCTGGCCTATGCCAAGTTCCAAAAAGGGATATTCACCACATATTAGTTGTAAAGACCTTTCTTAAGGCTGTACCCTTTTTTTAGTGCTTGCTTAAAGTATGCAAGGCACTGTGCTATATAGACAAACCAGACTTTAAGAGGGGTCTCCTAAGGGTGGTAGGGTTTGGGGGCCCACAGCTTGAACTCAGGCAAAGAGCAAAAGAGCCAAAGGGTAAGTGCAGTTCTAAGTCTTTAGGGAGCATCACAGTTTAAGTCTGGAGAACCAAATTCAGTTGACAAGATGGAATACAGGAACAGGATGAAAACAGGAGACAGCCAGAGGTAACAAATGAGGAAAGAGCTAGAACAAGCAATGAGGGTTCTTGCCAGATGTTGTCAATGATGCTGAAGTTGTCCTCGTTGGCCTACATAGGTCATCAGAGTGGCTTACGAGTAAAGTCAAGGAAGACAATGAAAAGTAAAGTAAGGTATTTGTTCTCACACAGCGCCTACACGCATGTTTCTTATGTAAAATGTGGATAACAGTAGTACCTATCTCATAGGGTAACTTAGGATTAACTGAAACGATGTATGTAAAAAACTGAGAACAGGGTTTGACACACAGTAGACATTAGCTGTTATTAATATTCTATCTTCCAAACTATATAACGTAGATAAAGTTTAAGCAAACACATAAGCCATTCTAGTATCAAATCTAATTCTTTAAACTATTTTAGCATACTCAATGCTGCCCTATATTAGTTAATACTGTAACAAAACCCTTTTAAAAGGATATAAATATGGGTGTGTGTACTGCTCAAAATAAGGCTATTTTTCTCCTTGCTACGCTACTGAAACTGCCTTCACATTGGTCACCAAAGGCCTGTTTCCAGGACTTCATGATCTTTTTTAACCACTTTAAAACTACTTTCTAACCTCTCCTTTCAACTACTTTTCGACCTCTCAACACTTTCTTGCCCTTTGGATTCTGAGATAACACTTTGGTTTGGTTCTCCTGCCTCTCTGACCATCTCTTTTTGTCTCCATGGAAGGCTTCCCCTCCCCTGGCTGCCTCTTGAATTCTAGTATTTTTCAGGTTCATCCCTACTATTCACTGCTTCTCAGCCTTTCTAATACGCTGCACTACCTTAATTTATACCTTTATCCTCTCTGCCTTGGACTACCGCAGCACTCGAAATGGTATCCTGGTTCCAGTTCCTCCCAATTTCAGTGTATCCCTCATGCTGCCACCAAAATGATTTTCTTTTTTTTTTAAGATCAAGTGTTTGTGCAAGGACCTCCATTATCTTCTGTTTCCTACAAGAAAAAGTCCAAAACTTCAGCACACAATACAAGGGCCCTTCATTTTGGCCCCAACCAACCCCTCCAATCTCATCTCATCTTGCTCCACCTACTCAGCCAGAACTCCAACCACATGGAAATGTTCTTCATTATTCAGATTACAACATGCCCTTTTGCAAATCCCTGCCTTTGCACGTTTCCTCTTCTTCAAATGCCGTTTTTCCGTGTTCCCAACCACTTCCTGACCCAGCTCCTTTTTCTATTAAGCGTTTATCACACTGCATTTATAAATATCTGTTTACATGTCTATTCCCCCAGGAAAATAAAAGCATCCAAAGTATAGGAAAACAGCTTTAGCTCCAGAATCTAGTACCAAGAAAATGCTCAACAAGTATTTAATGACTGAATTGTGAGCAATCAACACACATTAAAATGATTTTTTAAAAAAGAGTTGCAGTTTTAAAATTTTTCCTTAGGTGGAATTGAGTGAAAGGAAAAAGATGCAAATGAAACACTCAAGCTCAAATCTCAAGGTAAATGTGGATATTCTGAAGAGCCAGAAGATGACCTATAAAGACAGCAGTACAGAATACTTAAAATCTGAAGCAGTGCAGAACTTCAAGGTTGAAGGCCATGGCAGTGGATATACATAACATATATGACATTATCACTTCCCTCCTTAAAACCCTTCAATTGCTTTTTAAAAATAAAGCTCATCTTTAAGCTGGTGCACAAGAGCCTCTGTAATAAACTTGCCTCCATCTACTTACAGCCCCACCTCACATCACTATGTACTCTCTCTCACAAAGGCCTTCTTTCCCACCTCAGACTTTGCACAAGCAAATCTGCCAGTAACTTTCTTTCACATACTCTCCTACCTCAAACTAGTTCACTCTCATCCCTTGGCTATCAGCCCAAGCGTTCTTTATCCCCCTTAGTGACAGAGCATAAAGCCCTTTTATCCCATTATATTTGGAAGGCAATACTGTATAGAGTTATGATCATGGATTATGGGTCCTTGGGCATTACCTATTTAACCCCTTTTATATCTTCGTTTCCTTGTCTGTAAAATCGGGGTAATAGTAGTACTTCCTTCATAAGATAATTGAAAGGATTAAAAAAGATAATTCACATAAAGCACTTAGAATTGTGTCGATATGTAGTAAGGGCCCACTGTATCTCAGTAATTATCGTATTTACTTAATCAGTTGTCCCACACTCCCTTCCCCTGCTCCTCCAGCCCAGGAACCACCCCAGCCTCATTCATGTCTGTATTCTCAGCCTCAGCACAGGGTCCCGAAGATAGCAGGCCTTCCACATATGATTTAAAAGATAAGCTAGCAAAAGCCTTGTGTCCCACGTTTGCCTTACTAGCTGAATAACCGCAGGCAACCACTCACCCACCTAAGCCTCGTTTCCCATTATGAAAAATGTAGCATCCACCTCAAAGAGGTCTTGTGCTAAATAAGGCGATGCATCTACCAAAGCACGTTGCACATCTTCAAATGTCGCACGAGCGGCAGATGTTTATTACTAAGAAAGCGGAGGTCTGCGTCTTCCCCTCTCCTCCGGCACATCTCGTCCCCACCGCTCCCTCCCGCCTCCCAGCCCACACCCTGACTGCGCCCTTGGCCCCCGCTCCCTCGGGACCGCAGGCGTGGGAGCCCCGGCCCCGCGCAGCTCCCTCACGGCGCCCCGCGCCCTCCTTCCTTCCTCGCCCGGACGGACGCACTTCCGGCGGATGTGGGGGGGGGGGCAGCCCCGGAAACGGAAGCGAGCGGCGGGGCCGGCTGACGGTAACGGGCTGAGAGCGTGTTCGCAGAGCGGGTTGAAGATGGTGAGTGAGACCCCAGGCGACCCGAGTTCCCGGCGGGCTCGGGAGCGTGGCGCTTCAGGAACAGGCCGCCGTCTCCCAGCCCGTCCCCTGGCGGAGGCAGCGGCGGGGCGTGAGGCCGGCCGCGGGCGCCATGATCTGTCGAGTCACGGGGCTGGGGGGTTCGTGGCTGTCGCCCGGGCCCGGCGCTTCGTCGGCATTCTCTTCCACCTCCTCCTTCTCTCTAGGTCTGCGCCGTCCCGTCCCCAAGTCCCCCGTAGGCCCCGGCCCCTTCCCCGGAGTTGGCGCGGAGCTGCCAAGGACAAAACCGAAAGTGCGGCGTCCTGTGGCCTGGCGCCTCGCCTGCCCTTCCCCGTGGGGAGACTCGGGGAGAGTCCTCAAAACCCTCGCCCGCCCCGGCCCTCGGAACCGCCCTGACCGCCGGCGCGTAACTGTGGGTCGCAGATCAGCGCTACTCTGCGGACATTTTCGGGAGTTTGTAGCGTGTCAGACGTTGGAGGGGAAAAAAATCAGACAGTTGCTGCTCCCCGTTTGTCAGTATTGTTAGTGCATCTCCTCTTCCGTCCTCCCTCTCTGTCTTTCCCTTTTTATCTTAAAAGTGATATTTGGGAAAGACTCCTGTGTCGCCGTTGCCGCTGACTCTGATACCAGTACTGCTGCTAGGCCTTCCAAATCTAGAAAACTTCTGTTGGTAAATACTGCTAATCATTTAGAGAGGTTTTGTAAACACGCTCAAGTGTAACTAGTGATCGTTAACTTTTCATAGGTTTGTTTTCCTCTTCTGGTTTATTGGAAACATCAGGTACTAATCCTGATATTTTACAGAAGGAAATTGGGAAAATGATAACAGTAGAACCCAGAGATCAGAATTCCCCTTTTCTTTGTGCATAGAAGAAACTTTTCTTTTGTCACTCTACAGTAAAGTGACTTGGGCAGAGGAGAATGTTCACGCAGGAAAGTAACAGGAGATACATTTGGAAAGGTACAGTCATACAACTCTAGTCCTGGAAAGAGTTCAGGTACGTGGTACAGATGAGCCAACAGGGTCAGAGAGGTGGTCTGCCTTTTCCGAGTCACCTGGTGGGTTAGTGACGGTCCACACTAGATTCCAGATTCTTTTCCTGCTTCACCATGACTTCTGCGCAGGAGAATTGAAACCTGTTGTGCAGGTTCTTGAGTTCTAGGCTAAGGACCTTCGACTTTGTTCTTCAAGACGAGACATTGATGACTCAGTGAAAGATTTCTTAGCAGCTTTGGAAGGGGAGGTTGTGTGTTTTAGGGAAACCTTGATATGCAGAATTGGAAAATGGAAGAGTGTAGAGGCAGCAAGACCCGGTAGGGTGTTGCTGAAGTTTTATCCAGGTGTGAGAGCCTGGACTAGAGGGGTGGATTGAAGAAACGCTGGACAGAATAAAGTACCTGACCAAATAAAATATAAAATGAATTAAGAAGTCAGTAAAAAAGTTGGTTTGCCAGAGTAGTTTCTCCTAGAATAGTATAAAACTGAATACCAAACTACCTGTACCTGTTTTCCATTTTTCTGTGGGATTGCAGCTATATTGTACTTGAACAATGAGTGATTTAAAGTGATTATCTTGTGTTTTACCTGTTGTAACATTTATTGCATTTTGTTTGTTTAATCTGTCTTCATTAGACTAAGCCCTGGAAGGTAGACGTGTATCTTCAGCATCTAGCAAATAATTGATGCTTAATATATTGATGGCACATAATTGATGCTTAATAAATATTTGGTGATTAATTGTTTTATAGTATAAGTATGTTGGGTGATAATACATGAGTATCAAATGCACTGTGAGTCTGTTTTTGATTTTGCATTGTTCTGTCTAGATACATTTATTTTTCGTACGTAGTACTGTTCTCTAATAGACACCAAACACTTTGTGAGACTCCCTTTTTTTCTTAGCTTCTGTGACCACTCTTCAAGCAATTCTGTCTATTCTTAATCTTTCTTTGTCCTTAAGGAATGGTATTCCCCAGGATTCTGTCTTCAACTTATTTCATTCTGTTGCTAATCATTCCAGGCTAAGTGAGGGATCTTTCCCGTAAAAGTCAATCTCATCATGCCATAACCCTGCAGAGGCTCTCTGTCAATTTCAGAGTAAAACCCAAATTTCTTTGCATGTTTAAGGCTTTTCGTTTTGCCAGCCTTTACTTCTGCCTCACTCATACATGTATTTATTTAGCTCATCATCACGCATTGCTTGTAGTTTGTTCATTTATATTTTTCTACCCTTAGCCATGTTTTTTTTTTCCTGGAATGCCTTTCAACCTGACAGCATTCAGAGATCAACTCAAGAATCCTTCCTATCCTCAAATTTCTGTTATTCACTATATCATGTATGTCTCTCTACCGTAATGCTTAAGGCTCATCGTGATGGTCTAGATTGTGGGCTCTTTGAGGACGGGGACCTTACCTTTTCTCTGTAGTGCTTAAACAGTGTTTTTTACATAGGTGTTCAGTGTGAGTTTTAATAATTTTTTTGTTTAATAGTGTTTTTATTTGTGTTCTAGAATGCCAGAGGACTTGGCTCTCAGCTAAAGGACAGTATTCCAGTTACTGAACTTTCAGCAAGTGGACCTTTTGAAAGTCATGATCTTCTTCGAAAAGGGTATGGGAGAGTTGTGACTTTGTTATAATAAAATGTTTCTGTGAGTTATTTTTCCCATTGGTCTTTAAATATTCTGATAGGCCATAAATGTGTGTGTGTGATTTGGAAGACAGCAAGTAGTAGCCCTTAGAGTGGGGCAGGAGGGGTGCAGAGGGTTTGATGTTTTCTACCGTGTAAGAACTGTCATATCAGAGTAGTAGGTTCCAGAATCGGGCATCCTTCTAGGAGATGTTACCCAGTAGCATGATTTGATAGGACTCTTCTTTTTGCTACTATAACTTGGAGAGACATTTGTCTCCTTATCTTATTAACTATTGGAGTAAGTCACTTTTTTCAGGAAGACACTAGAATTTAGCAGTTAAGAGCTTGGACCCTGGACTCAGGCTGCCTGGGTTTTGAGCCTGGCTTTGCTATTCACTAGATGTATGCCTTTGGGCAAGTTACTTAATTGCTCTAAGTCTCAGTGTCCTCAATCTATTAGTAGTTTATATCTTATTTTGAGGAATAAATGAGTTAAGACATGAAAAAAGCTTAGAACGGTACCTGACATGAGTAAGCACTTTGTGTTTGCTGCTATTATTTTTCTTTTCTAGCTTGAGCACACAATTATATCCCTTCCCTCGATTTCCTTTATGTTTTCTATATGTTTAGGTCTCAGGGTCTGGTACCGTGTCTTGGCACATTGCTTTTCTGCTTAATCAAATAGGGGTAATGCCTTTCCCCCATGAACATGCTGTTTTTTGAATTTTTACATTTTATATCTAATTTTAAGGTGTTTAGTCTGCCTATAATAGAGTGTCACTCTATACTGGTGTCTGGAGACAGACGTAATGCCTTATTATAGTCTTTCCGTTTTGTAGTGCAAGATGCAATATATAGCCTTTGGAGTTGGGGATATAATTTAATTTTTAGTATAGTCCAATTAGTAAGCCACTATCCAAGTCCTGATGATTTCCTTATTTACTTTTTTACATGAGATGCTCCTTTTTCCTTCCAGTTAGACTGTAAGATTGTCATGAGTAGAACCATTTTCAAATTTCGCTTCTAAGATAATAATGTTCTATACAAAGACAATTTTCAATAAACTATTGTTGCAGAATTTCTAAGGTTTCTTGCAGCTCTCAAATCCTGGTTTGGACAGTAACATGGTCACTTTTATATATCTAGAGTGATAGAGACCAAAGGCCTGCTTTTAGCTGTATATCACCTAACATAGACTTTGTACATAGGAGGTATTCAGTAAATGTCAAAAGTTGTTCCGCATGTGTTTATTAAACATATATTAAATACTGCATATGCCTTAGCCCTGAACAGAAGAGGCTTAGTTTATATAATATTAGAAGCATGTCATCAGAGTGACAATAATAAACATTATTAAATTTTTTGTAGATATAGGGCATCATTTAGCTACAGTTTTTGGAGGGTTCCCCGTAGTGAATTGAAGTCTTGACCACCAGTATCTATAATAGATGCATTTTAAACAATTATCATACAGTAAATTTGACTTGGTTCTTATTTTTGTGTATAGTTATATGAATTTTAATACATAGATCAATTCCTGTAAACATCACCACAGTCAGGATACAGAACAGTTTCATTGTCCAAAAAAACTCCCTCGTGCCATTCCTTTATAGTTATATGCTTGATAGTTGTGATTCTGAGCTTTGGGTATGGAGTGATACGTAATCTCCCTTTTAAATGTTTACTTTCAGTTTTTCTTGTGTGAAAAATGAACTTTTGCCGAGTCATCCTCTTGAATTATCAGAAAAAAATGTAAGTATATTACTTGTGTCTTTATTTTTATCCTCTCGTCAAAAAATACTTTCAGTAACACTGTTGTGGTTTCATTTATTAAGATAATTCTGGTGTTGAGCATTTGATGATGAATGGGAGGACTTATTTTCAGTAGCCTTTAGAGTAGGCTTTGAATTATCATTATACTGCGTAACTAAAGCTCTCTTTCTACGCATTCGTCTTGTCTTTTTTTATGGACATTTCTAAAGGTCGATCGGGGGCTGGCCCACTTGCACAGCGCTTAAGCTCGCATGTTCTGCTTCTTGGCGGCCTGGGGTTCGCCGGTTCGGATCCCGGGTATGGACATGGCACCACTTGGCAAAAGCCATGCTGTGGTAGGTGTCCCACGTATAAAGTAGAGGAAGATGGGCATGGGTGTTAGCTCAGGGCCAGTCTTTCTCAGCAGAAAGAGGAGGATTGGCAGTAGTGAGCTCAGGGCTAATCTTCCTCAAAAAAATAAAATAAATAAAAAAATAAAGGTCAATCCACTTCTCCATTCCTCTCATAATATTTTCTCATTTGATGACCCTGTTTTCTTTTATATTTTTCCCCTGCCATTTTTGCTGTTGACCTCTTTCTCAAGCCCTGCATCCTTAAGTTACTGAGGGATGTATCCACTTGCTAGGCACAGTAGGTACCCAGATGAAGAGGATGTAATCTCCATCCTTAAAGGGTTGAAAATTTAATGGGAGGACAAGCAGTGGATAGGGACTTCATCAAGTATTCTAGAGGACCAAGGATGGAGCAGCCACCTTTGTTAGGGCTTGTGGAAGGCTCCATAGAGGAGGGGATATTTGAACAGTTTTAGACCAGTATTTACCAGGAAAATTGGTGGGCACAGGTCACTCCTGAAGAGAGTGTAGTCTGTACAAATGTGTTAAAGACGACTTAAAGGATTTTTAAATCTCTGTTCAGACCAAGAAGAAAGAGGTATCTTACTACTTGGGGAAAATGGTGCACTGGTACTCAGTTAACAGAAATCTGACCTATTCCATTTTTTTTTGCTTCCTTCCTGTTTTAGTAGAGGGAAAGATTTTTCTATAAGAAAGAGTAGAACATGTAATGTAGTGATGAAATTCAAGTTCAAATTGGATGAGAAAATAAAGGGACTCCTAGCTGCTTTAAGTGCATTCTGGTTTCATGCTCAGAAGTTGACTTAGGAAGGTTAAATGTTTTTCAACCATAGAGGCTAATCATAGAAAGCATATAAATCAGGTTTGTGCAAGAAAAAGCTGATTAGGATAGCTCATTTTGATGAATAAGTGAACTGTATCACAGATGACACAATAGACCAAAAGAATAGGCCAGAACTTCAAGAAAAACACTTATGGAGGTGAATGTGAAATTCTTCATTTGAGTTAAAAAAATGAATGTACACATTTAGGTGTGGCAAACCTGACTTGTTACATAAAACTTGACAATTTTAATTTTATGTTCAGTATAAAGTAGCAGATTACAAACAGTTAATACAATCTTGGATTTTAGTAATAAATAGATGGGGCTCAAATCAAAGGAGATTGTAGGCTCACTTTCCTCTATTAGTCTGACCATTAGATTTGGAATGTTGGTTCAGTTCTGAGCAATACATTTTAAGAGAAGCTTTGACATTTCTGAGTGAGACTGACCAAAATGATGAAGAGTCTAAAAATTTCTTAGATCTTTTAAGACTCAGCTTAGTTCTGCTATCTCTGTGTAGTATTCTTTAGTCACTTTACCAGCTAATGGCAGTCCCTTGAAGTTCTGTGATACTTATTATGTGTCTTTTAACATGGGTTGTGTGGTTGAACTATATAGGTTTAAATTCTTGGCGCCACACTTGTTAGCCAGGTAAACTTGGGCAGCTTGCTTAATCTCTCTTTAAGTCTTAGTTTCCTCATCTATAAAATGGAGTTAGTGATAGCCCATCCCTTGGTATGTGCTGGCTTATAGTAGCTCTCCATGTTTGAGAGTTGCAGTGGTGATAGTGATGGAGGATGACCATCATCATCTATAGCAGGGGTTCTCTACTAGGGGAGATTTTGCCCTCTAAGGTCATTTGGCAAGGTCTGATAGTCACAAGTGGTGTTGAGGGGAAGGATCTTTGGTATTGGCATCTGTTGGGTAGAGGCCAGGGATGTTGCGAAACATCCTACATTGCACAGGACTGTCCCCACCCCCTACAACAAAGAATCATCTGGCCCAAGATGTCAGTAGTGGCAGGGGTTGAGAAGCCCTGATCTAGAGGTAGTGTCTTCCCCATTAGATTAGATAACCTCCTCCCTATAGACTGTTTCTTCTGTTTTGTTTTAGATCACTGCAGAGCCTAATTCTAATTTTGCAAATAGTTGCTAGTACTTAAGTGTATGTTAATTGATAATTGCGGTGTGCCATCACATTGCAAATTGAGTATATTCATCAAAGTTTATAAAATTGAATTGTTCTACATAAAATTGTGCTTATTATGAGATAACTCAGTATTTAAGGGAGACTCTGCAATTAGACCTTCAGATCATATACTCATGATAAAATATTGCCTATTTTCCCTGAGAACCATCAGTCAAAATTCTGCTCTCAGGCTAAAGAAATTAAAAACCATATTGCTAGATTTGTGCCTTCAGAATTAATATTTATGACCTCCAGGTTGTGTTCCAGGTGGGCACTAATCTCGCAGTAGATTTTTTGTCAAAACGATTTTTTTTTGACTGAGGAAGATTAGCCCTGAGCTAACATCTGTTGCCAGTCTTCCTCTTTGCTTGAGGAAGATTGTCCCTGAGCTAACATCTGTGCCATTCTTTCTCGATTTTGTATGTGGGTCACAGCCACAGCATGGCTGTCAAGTAGTGTAGGCCCAGGATCTGAACTCGTGAACCCAGACTGCTGGAGCAGAGCACACCAAACTTAATCACTAGGCCATAGGCGTGGCCCCATGATTTTTTATTTTTTAAGACTGTTAGAAAAGAATCTTATCCAGAGAGTATAGTGTAATAAAAAATGATCACAGAGGTCCCTTTCTCTCATAATTATTTTAGCTCAGACAGATCTTTATGGCAGTCTGTTTGCATGTCATGACTGCTATCCTTGAGAGCCATTTTGGGAAACTGTATGTTTGAGAATCCATGAGTCAAGTTGATTCATTTTGCCTGAAACATGTTAAATTGTGATAAAAGTTTTTAGAAGCAATATCAGTGCTTAGCAAAAGTATAATTCCAGAAAAAAAATTGCTTGGTAGTACTCAATACAATTTGGACAGACGTTAGAATCTTGCAGGTTCTTTTTCCCCAGAATCAATTACCCAAAAAAGTGGAGTTTAAACATTGTAGTTTAATTAACAGGTTGATATAATGGATCTGATTATTTCTTTTATGAAATCCTTTGAAATATATACTTTTGTACTTAGAATAGAAATTCACTATTAATTTTTGTTACTATACGTTAACCGTTTCTGAATCTCAAATTATTTACACCTTTTTGCTACCAGATTTGCAGTAATTCTAATCAGAAGTGCTAAAATGTGTTTGTGCTTAATTTATTAGTTTTGTAAATCCAAATTTTAGATGGTAATTTTATACTGGTGAAGTACACCTGCATGCTGGATAAAATAGAGGCATATATATTCTAAAATTTGTTGAAGAAATGAGTAAAAGTACTTTGTTTTTATTTTAGGTATGGATATTAAAATCCTTCATCTAAGTATTGTGTTACTTATGTATCAGTGCTGTTTTGAAAGCAAAATGTTGAGTGTAACATTTAAAATGACATTGTTGTCTTTTGTAGTTCCAGCTCAACCAAGATAAAATGAATTTTTCCACGCTGAGAAACATCCAGGGTCTATTTGCTCCACTAAAATTGCAAATGGAATTCAAGGCCGTACAGCAGGTGAGTTTTTAGATGTCAGTTGTGTATGGTTCCCACACATGTCGATATCTGTTGGAAGGACTCTTCTCTTTTAATAATAGCTATACAAACCCACCTTCTCATGTCCCCTACAACCAGTATTCTACTTTCCCCATTTTTAGGATATGGCCTCAATTCCTGCTTCATAGAGGAAAACAAGAAGCCATTAAACTCCTTGAAATTATAGGCTCAGTGTCTGAAAACTTAGCCATCTCCTTTCATGTTCTTCTTTGGGGAGGTTACATTGAATTTGAGATGCCTCTGGGAGTATCCGAGTGAAGGGATCTAGTGGGCAGTTTGTATATAGCTGAGTATACCTGTTGTTCAGGAGTGAGAGCTTCACAGATGTCCTTCCTCGTGTGTAAGAACTGTCCCCCCACTTGCACTCTGGATTCCATCACATCACGAGTATATGCTGTGGTTTTCCTGGATGGAAACAAAGCCCCAAATGTGTGCAAACCTGATGGGATTATTAAGTGTTGATAAAAGCTTCAATTTCAGTGTCTTTGCATATTTTGAGTAAAGTTTTGAGGAATTTTTTGAAACTTGGTTTGGGTTAAAATATAAACTAGTGTCCCATCCCTGACCCACCTCACCCCCAAGTTAAATTGTTATTTTACTTGATTTTGTGAATTTTACAAATGAAGAATGAAGAACATGAAATTAGATTATATAGTTTATTTCCCCTGTGGTTTTTTTAGTCTTACCCTTTTATACTTTTCCCAAAGGTTCAGCGTCTACCGTTTCTTCCAAGCTCAAATCTTTCACTGGATATTTTGAGGGGTAATGCTGAGACTATTGGATTTGAAGATATTCTTAATGGTAAGTGTCGTTCAGCACCTTTTTATGGAGCCCCAGGAAGACACAAGGCAACAGCAGCAAACCAAACCAACAGCATCTCTGGTCCTCATGGAGCTTAGAGCTGGTTGGATTCACTGTTTATTCACTGCAATAAGATAAACTTTAATCTTAATAACTTTTCTTTAACTAGTTTTAAAAGTGAAAATCATTTATGGAGTTCTGAGGTTGTAGTCATTTCAGTCAACTTGTGGTAGTCATTCATTTTATGTTCCGAGGATAATGTGTAATGTGTGACTCTAATACAGCATTCTTAGGGTAGCTTAAACAACGATCATTGTTTCAGTATTCAAAATGTGGGATGTGACTAGTTTTTAAAATTACTAGAAAAAGTATAATAAAAGTTTTCTTTAAAAAATAGTCCTCAAAGGGCCAGCCCAGTGGCGTAGTGGTTAAGTTCACATGCTCTGCTTCGGGAGCTCGGGATTCACAGGTTTGGATCTTGGGCACAGACCTAGCACCACTGGTCAAGCCATGCTGTGGTGGCATCCCACATGAAATAGAGGAAGATTGGCACAGATGTTAGCTCAGTGACAATCTTCCTCAAGCAAAAAAAAGAGGAAGATTGCTAACAGATGCTAGCTGAGGGCCAATCTTCCTCACCAAAAAAAAAGTGCCCCCAACCCCCACAAATAATTTTTGTGCTTCTATAGATGGTGAGTAGGAAAGAAGACTCTCATTTTTAACGAAATTCCCTGAATAATTGTATTATGTATAAGGTAAATGACTTTTAAGTAAGAACAATACATTCAGGATCCTGTATTTTTTCTAATTCTGAGGAAGATAAACAAATAGAAGTCTGTCCAGCATTGCTTCTGCTCATTATGCCCCAGCAGTTCAGGAGAAACAGAAAAACCCAACAGGATTAAATTCTCTTAGTTTTGCTTGGCTGCTGATGTCCGGTAAGGAAATGCTGTGGACACAACAGAAGTCTAGTGAGCCTCCTGCGAATCTTCCCTGAGGGAACTGTCTGAATGCAGGAAAACCTGGAATTCCTTTGCTTTTCCATTGAACTTCGACCTCATTTAAAATTAGTAAGGTGATAGTTAGGTCTGTGTATGCTTATCTTTTAATTAGTTATAAAGATGCACTCATTAAAAATCAACTTCTGTAATTCTCTGTAAAGAAAGGGAGAGGGACCTACTGAGCGTTCCTGTAGTCAGTCAGTCAAATATTTGTTAGATATCAGGCACTGGGCTAGGCTCTGAATATACAGGGTGAAACGACGTCTGTGCTTTCTAATGGGAGACCTAAACATTGAACAGATGAAACACCAAACATGTGATTGCAAATTGTGAAAACTTCCAGAAATAAAAAGGCTAGGGATGTAGTTTCTTGTTGAGTGGGAGGGTCAGCTACCTCTGGGAATAGGACACATAAGTTGATTCCTGAAAGATAGGTGAATTAGTTGAGCTAAAAGTAGAATATTTCAGGCACATGCACTATATTTAGGGTTATATTTACTGAAGAGTGCAGTAGTAAAGTCAGAACTGGAGTTTTTCTTAGTGCTGAGAAGGGCCTTCCCTTTAAGAGGGGTAAACAGACTGAGCGAGAGGCTCAGTTCTCCCTCAGCGAGCTACTGGCAGAGCAGGCCGGTGCCCTCCTTTACGATATGCTATCTCTTGGTGCAAGTGATTTATTTCATAAGCAAATACTTATTAAAGTGAAAAGCTTAAAAAAGCAGAGTTTAAAAGAAAGTTGTCATTATATAAATGAGTATATTCTTTGTTTAAAAATTTCAAACATTACTGCTGAAACTAGGTTCCTCCATGATTACCCCCAAACCCATTTCTGACCCTCCTTCCCTGGTGACCTGCTGTTTTTAATTAGTGTATGTCCTTCCAGACTTTTTTCTCTCCCTTCATACAAACATATATATGATCAGAAGACATTTGGCATTGTTCAGTGTTTGTTTTTTAAAGACAGCTGGTACCATGCTGTGTGCATCTTATGGTATGTGTGATACATCAATGTATTTATTGGTGGATGCTTGCTTTTTTCTCTCTTGCTCACGAACATGAAACAGTGCTGCAGCAAACATCTTTGCCTAATCTTTGTGCTCATATGCAGACATTTTTTTTTTTAGGTTTAGGTTTTGAATGCCTGTTGTATAATAGCAGTTTACTCTGTTATTAATAATTGTAGCAGTATCAGTTGTTGCTAAGGCTATCTTGTTGTGTCCAGAGTATAGATTCCTGAACTGATGTTCAGCAATAATCTCTAGTTTCTTAGGAGATCCAGTGAGGAAACCTCCACTTTGATAATGATTATTTTAATGTGAAGGGTATTTATTTTTACAGACTGATTTACAGTTTAGTTCATTGGGTCTTTATTTCTGTTTCTAGTTTTGTGTTGAGGAGTAGAGAGCAAAAAAGAAAAAAAGGCTTTATTGTCTTTAGAATTCTTACTGTATTCATTTTAAAAGCTCTTGTAGGCGTATTGTTACAATTAAAATAAGACTGTAGTCTGAGTCATCTATAAAAACGAGAGTGAAGATTAAGGTTTTCTTGCTCTAGAATTCTCATTTATGTTTGTGTACATGTGTATGCAACAGAGCGCAAAATAGAGAAAACGTTTTTTGCAAATTGGATTAAGAGTTTGCTTAATCTCTTAATTAGAGAATATTTCTAGAGTTATCTGAGAAGCCACTGGAAAACTTAAGAACTTTGAGACAGGAGGACTTTGTCAATCTATATTTTCTTTTTAAATTGAGCGTATTGAGGTATGATTGGCATACAGTAGAATGCATCCATCTTGAGTGTATAGTTCTGTAAATTTTAGCAGATGCGTACAGCTGTGTCACTGTCCCCCCAGTCAAGATAGAGTGTTTTCATTAACCCAGAAAGTTTCCTTGGTCCCCTTGCAGTCAGTCTCCTCACCCTTGGCCCCAGGCAACCACTGGTCTGTTTTCTCTCACTTTAGATTAGTTTGCCTGTTCTAGATGTTCATGTGAGTAGAAGCACTGAATTTATCTTTTTTTGAGAATCTTTAATGTTTGTTTTTGTTTGTTTTCAGACCCGGCACAGAGTGAACTAATGGGAGAACCACACTTGATGGTGGAATATAAACTCGGTTTACTGTAACGCAGCGTGTGCCGTTCGTGAAAAGAGTGGGGCTGTATCTTGTTTATAGTTGTCTTTTTACTGTAATTTGATGTACACAACATTAAACGTACTGACACATGAGAAGTTTTGCCTAAATAATATCCGTGATCAGTTGAAATTATTTGGGTCTTTGGTTTATGGCCATGCAACAGTTGAAAACACTAAAGAGAGATGATTTTAAAACTCCTAATTTATGTTAAAACAGTAGCCCCCTATGTCTTTAAAAAATTGTTGCTAATGAATATTATAAAACTCTCTACAGGTTCCAGATCAACCTATTTTCTAGGTATTTCATAAATACAATTTCAAATAACCATTAGCAGAATTTGAGTCTGCAACCTTTATAGTAGCTTCTTTTAGAATAAACATCTGTAATTGGTTGAAGTCGAAACATTTCAATTTAAGTACAAAGTAAGATTTATAGTTTACCTTGTTTCAGTATAGTTCATTAATACCTGTAAGAATAATATTTGCCTTATTGATGCTACTTTAGAATTATAGCTATTCCTTGGTTCTTTCAGGTTAAAAGTGTAAGTTCAGATGTTTTGATTTTGGTCTTGTATTTAAATTGAAAAATTAAAGCTACTAGCAGAAGTAGATTAATCCATTGTACTGCATACATTCAATATGTATTTAATATGTTATTAAGTAACACTGTTAAAGAAAAGTAAAACTCATTGTTCCTTGTTCTTTATATATCACAAGATACTTAAATTTAAAAAATAATTAGAACAGTCATATACACACACTGTGCATCCATGAAAAAATTCCGTAATTTATTTAAATCTTCACTATGGTGGTTCTTTCTTATAAAGGCATTCTTTATGAACCTGGTATACAAAAATTAAAGATTTTTAGATTTAATTAGTGAATGGGTCATCTTTTGCTAATTAAAAAATATGTTTTGATTATCAGTTTTTCAGGAACATCTTTATTAGATAAGTCACTGGTTTGCAACTGAGGGCAATATTGCATCTCTCTTCCAGGGGTGGGGGACATTTGACAATGTCTAGAGACATTTTTGGTTGTCACAGCTTGCCCGGGGGCTGCTACTGTCTTGTAGGTAGAGGCCATGGATGTTGCTAAACATCCTACAATATACAGAACATGAACTTATGGTCATGTAATGAATTGAAGGTCTTAAAGGAAGATGATTTTAAAACTCCTAATTTATATTGAAACAATAGCCCTCAACGTCTTAAAAAAAAGGTTACTATTGCATATTTTAAAACTGTCTACATTCAGAGTTTGCTCCCTGCAACCAAGAAATCATTTGGTTTAAAACATCAGCAGTGTCAAGGTTGACAAACCTTGAGATAAACCAAATGACATATATTTAAAAAATTGCTCCTGACTTTTGAGATTAAGTTTAAAACCATCTTTGCTAACACAGTATTTGCCAACACATTTTACACTTAAATTATGAGAAAACATAGAAATACTGAAGGTTCACTAATTGTTTGCAGATGCATTCTCTTTCATCTAATTAAGAAAGTTGGAGATTTCTTCTGTACCTTAGTTCTAGGAATGGTAGATACCCTTCCTGACCAGTAGAGGGTCCTGTGAAATTAATGAGCATAGTTTAAATGGAAAACCTGATACTGTAAATGCAGAAATTGGTAATCACATGATTAGCACTTTCTGAAGGTCTTTTGCTTCGTCTCTCCTTTTTCTCATTTATCTTCTTTCTGTTTATACCAGTGATCCTCATCCCTGGATGCAGGTGAGAGTCACCTGGGAATCTTGGGAGGAAATTTTGGTGTTATGGTTTGAATCTCAGAAATTCCAGTAGGACCAGTTTGGGCTGCATGCGAGAAAGTGTACCTTTGAAAAGCTCTGCAGGGTTCAGAACCTTTGATTTATATGCTTGCCATCCTCTTCTTGCTTGCCTTTGCCTTTATATTGACGACATTCATTAGCACTGGTTAATTCTTCTGGTCTATCTCATTGCTGAGAAGTTTCCTAATGTTTCTTTCTCCCTGCAATCTACAGTGTCTGCTTGGAGTTGAGGAATTATTCAGGTTCCTTCACAAGAGTTAGTTGCACGTCCCTCTGAGTTACTTGCCTACGTGCCAAACTCTTCACTTAGGCATTTTTCTTTCAGATTATATCATTTTGTTGAAGATTTAGTTTAGTATTTTCCTTGTCTCTGTTTTGCTTGTGAAATACTAATCTTTGGGGTCAAGAGGTACTTCACAGGTTGTTACCTGATTAAAATTCTTTTTATTAATCCTAAAATGATAAAATTCACAATAAAAGATAGAAACATAATGAGAGTACAACCTAATTCTATATTAAGCCTTTTAATGTATAAGAGAAGAAAGGAGATTTGTGGGTTTATTGTCTGGAAGTGTTTGGGTTTGGCAAAAAAATGAGCTCTATTTGCCACACCACGGCATGGCTCTTCCACCAAACACACCCCTTCACTCTTACCCTTTGTACAAAGTAGAAGTGACAGGCTTATCATTTTTCATTTTTTCTGCCCTTATTCGCAGTGTCTGTCATCCCTCTTTGAGGAGCACGCATAAGGATAGCCCAGTGCTGTCCTACATTTTGTTACTCCTTTGAATGCAGACATTTCAAGAATGTAAAAGATGATCTGAACAAGTGGATTACTTTTGAAAAACAGACTATGTACTTTATAATCTTCCACTGGAATCTATAAGTGGATAAATTTTTTTTCAAACACATGAAATTTAACCACATATTAACCAAATTTTGACTTGCTCTTTCAATAAAGCAAAATCGAAATTGCCATGATGCTTTCATTGGACTGACTTAGCTCATCATTTCAAAATTGAAATTCAGGTCCCTTCATGCACAATAAATGCTTAATTAAGAACCTGTACTGGGGCCGGCCGCATGGCCGAGTGGTTGAGTTTGCGTGCTCTGCTTTGGTGGCCCAGGGTTTCGCCGGTTTGAATCCTGGGCATGACATGGCACTGCTCTTCAAGCCACGCTGAGGCAGCGTGCCACATACCACAACCAGAAGGACCCACAACTAAAAATACGCAACTATGCTTTGGGAGAAAAAGGAAAAAAAAACCTAGACTTTTGTTTTTATTACAGATCCTCAAATACTATTGAAGAATGAGAACATACTGTTAGTTTTTTGCATAGTGTTTCAGCGGGATTTTTTTTTTTAATTCAGATTGAAAAAGTGTAAGGGACTTTAAAATGCTTTTTCTTTTAATAAAAAATGAAATTCTGAAAATTTAGAGATTGCTTCCGGATCTCGAATTTATTTCTAGAGCCAGTAGACGTGCTTTGTCAGTTGTACGTTGTCTTTTTGGTTTTCAGTTTCGTGGCCTGGTGGAGACAGGAAAAGCCTTATTGTTCATCTCTGACAAAATGAGGTCAGATAGAGGCTATGGCTTTGGGTCAGTGAGGGACCAGGTGGAATTCTGCTTTAACTTTGTTAGGCTTATTTACTTTTGGAGAAATGAATTGATTTTCACTCAAGACTTAGACGAGCCTTATATTTGCTTGTTTTTCGTATTATATAGAAATCTTGCAAAACATAAACCAAAGTATATTTTCACCAACTTTTTATTTTGAAAATTTTCAAATTTAGAAAAAAACTGGAAGACTAATACAAATAACACTCAATATAACCTTCCTGTAGATTCACCGATTGTCAACAGATTGTCTTATTTCCTCCTGAGTAGATTCAGGATAAACATTTTTGGCAAGAAGTCTATGAAGGTGGTGATACATACTTCTTACGGCATCACAATGGGAGGCACACTATGTTAGATTGTCCCATTTACTGTTTTGTTTTTTTCTTTTTGGAAGATTAGCCCTGAGCTAACATCTGCTGCCAATCCTCCTCCTTTTGCTGAGGAAAACTGACCATGAGCTAACATCTGTGCCCATCTTCCTCCAGTTTGTATGTGGGACACCTGCCACAGCATGGCTTGCCAAGCGGGGCCATGTCCGCACCCAGGATCCAAACTAGCGAACTGTGGGCCACTGAAGTGGAACGTCCGAACTTAACTGCTGCGCCACCAGGCCGGCCCCCCACTTATGTTAAGTGTGATGATCCCTTAGTTAGCGGGTGGTGGCCGCCAGAGCTCTCCATGTAGAAAGTAGTTTTCCTTTTGTAATTAGTAAATAATCTGTGAAGTAATAATTTTGAGACCTGTTGTGTGTCCTGTTCCCCAAGAACCTTTCAGAGATTTTAGCATCCATAAAAAAATCTTTGTTTCAGTCATTTATCACATGGTCTTTGGGGACAGGGGAGCGCTGAAAAATCATATTTTATTCTTCTACAGTTAAACTGGCTGACAAATTTTTGTAAAGTTAGGTTTCCCCTCGTTGTCTTCCTGTCCCTAAGGTATCCTTATGGACTCATGGATTCTTACTTCATGTTTTATAATCCATTTCTATCATTACTCTTTTTGATGCCCTAAACCTAATTGTTCTAATGAATACATAGACCTTCAATTTGAAAAGAAAATTACATTTGGCTTAATTTAATTTTTAGCATTACAAATTAAGGTTTTACCGAACATATTAGCGTTATTTCACAGAATATTGAATATACCTTAAATACTTTAGTTACCATAGTCAGTTATCATAGAAATTATAACCAAAAAAAATACTGTGTTAGCCAGGGAAAATACTGCTGACCTCAATACTACTGATGTTTTCCCAGTCACGTGAGGAATTCATGTGATTGAGACAAGCCAGGGTAGCCAGAGCCTTGCTCCCTTCTGCCCTGGGCTTACAAGTAGGCACAATTTTATGAAAATTTAAGAGAAGACAAAAGGAACTGATAAGGCACAGGAAGGGGTGCATTGTTCTTCTTTTTAAACTTTTTATTATGGAAAATGTCAAACATCCAAAAGTAGATAGAAAAACACAGTATAATCTCATGTTGCCATCATCTAGCTTCCATAATTTACTCACAGCCAATCTTTTGTCGACATTTTTCACCTACTTTCCCCCCAGTATTATTTGGAAAGAAATTCCAGACATCATTTCTATGTAAATATTTCAGTTTATAAAGTTGACACAACCACAATACCATTATTGTTGTACCTAAATTAACAATGATTCCTTATAATTAAATGTCTAGTTAGTATTCAGATTTCTGATAGTCCTATAAGCATCATATATATATATATTTTTTCAGCTGTTTTGTTTACTCAGGATCCAAGTAACTTACACACACTGATTGGTTTTGTGCCAGTTGTCTCTTAATTTACGGGTTCTACCTCTCTCTCTCTCTCTTTTTTTACTATTTGTGATGAAACCAGCTGTTTGTTCTAAAGAGTTTCCCATGGTCTACATTTTGCTCTTTGCATCTTTGTGATTAATTTAACATGTTCTTCTCACCTCTGTATTTTTCATAAATTGCTAGTTGAGTCTGTGGGCTTGATCAGATTCCTGTTCATTACTTTTTGGAAAGATCACTTCATAGGTGGTGTGTCCTTCCATAAAAAGATACCTAATGCCTAACGGGTTTTCATTTTGTGATATTGATGGCCATTGATGCACAATGCATAGATCCGTTTATTTATTAGGGGTTGGAAAATGATTCTAAATTTCTAAAATGATTCTAAATTTGTCATTCTTTCTTCATTGTTTTAGCCAAAATACTTCCTTAAAGGGAAGCTTACTGTGACTTACCATTTGGTTACCCAGGGATGGAGTTGACAGAGGAAAGACAGGGAAGATATGCTTTCTTCACTTGTTTTTAGTCATTTTCAAAATAAATTTTTTTAATATTCTTTAAGAATGATCGATTTGTTTTTATTGTTGTCAGTATCATAATGAAGGTGCATACTGTTTAATCAGTGGTTTGGTTTTGATTTGTTTGCTTGTTTGTTTCTTACAAAGATAAACAGATCATAGACCAAATTACCATTTTAGGGACTAGGCCTGGCTTAAGAGGCTTTCTCTTCCCTTAATATAAATATAAATGTATATTTATAAAATATAAATATAAAAATAAATATAAATATAAAATATAAACTGAACATGTCCGGGGTTTGGCTTTGGGCAAAAGATAGGGAAGGTCAGAAACTGGACTCCATTCCCCTTTTTTTCCCCTTCCACTTTGTAGAATGCACTTGTCTTATTTGGCTGTCTGGCCTCCACTCTCACTTCCTAATAACACTCCGAGTTCTTTAGGGGAATCACCTCTCCTCCATTGTTTGCTGTCTTGGGTGGAAATGGTGCCTGCCTCCCTCTCTGGAATTCGAAGAGGGCACACCTTTCTGCTCCTGGTGCTTCCTGGGGGCAGGCATGTGACCTAGGTCCGAACTTCTCTCCTGAGCTTGGGCTCCAGGTCAAGGACATGAGGACAGTGAGGTGACTCATTGCTGGCAGAAGCAGTGTCTTCATGTTGCGTGACCATTGCTATGTTGCCACTGCTCAATTTGCAAAGCTCCTGAGCTCCTGATTGTTTTCTTAGCCTGTTCCTAGGCTTTTTATTGAAGCCGAGAGCCTCCACTCTCATTCCAGTAAATTCCTGTGTGCTTGAGATAAACTGAGTACACTTTGTTGCTTGCAATCAGGATCTCTGAATGATACGGTAACTGGCATCATTATAGTGTTATAGGAAACACACCCCAGAGAATGTGGGAATTGGGGATTGTTATTTGACTGAAAAATTTAGGAAGTGAATGTAGGTGGGAAATCTAGCTGTCTTTGGCAGGCAATTGTAAAATAGCTATCCTGTCTGGTCACGAGAAGTCACATGCCCAACTTATAGCAAGGTTCTGGGCAACCAGAATAAAAAGTCAGGATGGTGGGGTGGCTGCTTCTGACAGCATTAGAAAGTTTAAAGCAAGTAAATAACAAGTTCAAATCCCCAAACCAACCCACAGAAGCCTAAAGAATGTCATTTTTTACAGGTAAAGTACTCAGAAACAAATCTGAGTCTCCAGAATGAGTACAGCTTTTGAAGTCACTGCCCTACCAAGACCCAATGTGTGGAAACTGGGGCACTCATTAGGACCCTGAGAACTGAATTCAGTGGGAATAGGATTGAGGAAGGAAGCAGTTTCTTCTCTTAGAAGGAGGATATTCCTTTCTTCCTTAAGGCTGTTTTCACCTGAGGGGGTCAGTTTAGTAGAGAAAGGCAGTTCCAGTCTTGCCACAGCGCTCTTTATTTCCAAACCCATGGCTAGTGTGAAGAGCCCAGCACGCCCCCTGCAGGCCAATCCGAAGAAATCCAACATGTAGAAAGAGTGAGAACTTTGCCAATTTCTATCTACAAGAATTTCAGGAACGCGTGAAGGAATAGATTTTGAATGTGCTTTTAGAATATCAATATGATGCCATTACACAAGATAATTCTAGATTCATTTAACTCGAGAGGATGGATGTGGTTTTGATAGTTTGCAAAATTGGATTCAACACGGGCGCACAGTAAGTGGAACTGAGATGCCAGAAGTCCTTAGTATAGTGTAGAGCAGTGGTTCTCGAAGTCTTTGCACATCAGAATCACAGGAGGGCTTTTAAAAACACAAATTCCAGGGCCCCACTCCCCTCAGAGAGTTTGTGATTCAGAAGGCTTGAGTTGAAGCCTGAGAATGTGTGTTTCTAGCCAGGTTTCAGGTGATGGTGCTGCTGTAATCCAGGGACCACTCTGAGAACCGCCAGTGTGAGGGGAGGAAATCACATACTTTGAGAGACAGGAACATTGGAGTGGTTCACCTGTGTAAATCCTCTGTTCACTGGCCACCGGACTGTCTTTCCCAAGATAAGTTACGTAACTACACCTTTACCAAGGGCCTCAAACATGTATTAGTGCTGGTTTCCAAGCACCAAAATAGTCTTTTATTTAACGTTATTGAGGTATAATTTATGTAAAATCAGTGTCTCCATTTAAAGTATACAGTTGGATAAGTTTTGACAAATGTATTCAACTGTGTAACCACCACCACAATCAACATATGGAATGTTTCCATCACCCCAAAATTTCTCTCCTGTTCCTTTATATCCCTATCTCTCCTGCTTTAAGCCCCAGGCAACAACTGATCTGCTTTCTGACATTGTAGATTAGGGTTTTTTTCCAAGAATTTCATATAAAGAGACATACAATATGTAATTTTTTGTGTCTGGCTTCTTTTTCTTTTTTCTTTTTTGCTGAGGAAGATGTGCCCTGAGCTAACATCTATACCAATCTTCTTCTATTTTGTATGTGAGTTGCCACCATAACATGGCCACCAACAAGTGGTGTAGGTCTGTGCCCAGGAACAAGATCCAGGTCACTGAAGTGGAGTGCGCCAAACGTAACCACTAGGCCATGGGGCCGGCTCTTCTTTTGCTTTGTATATTGTTTAAAAACTTATCCATGTTGTTAGGTATATCAGTAATTTTGTTCTTTTTTATTGCCGATTAGTATTCCATTGTATGGATAGAGCGTATTTTGTTTACTCACTCATCTCTGGAAGGATATTTGGGTCATTTCCAGTTTTTGGCTGTCATGGATGAAGCTTCTACGGACATTGATATGAAAGTCTTTGTACAGGCATATGTTCTCATTTGTTGTGGGTAAATAACCCAGGAGTGGCATTGCTGAGTCATATGGTAAGTGTACCAGCATTCCAGTTGCTTGACACCCTCACTAGTGCTTGATATCATCACACTTTTTAAACTTTAGCCATTCTAGTGAGTATGAGGTGGTATCTCGTGGTTTTAATTGCATTTCTCTGACGACTAATGGTGTTGAGCATTACTGTATCTTTATTTTGTGAATTGGCTTTTCAAATCTTTTGCCCTCTCTTTCACCTTTTTTTGTGTATGTGTGAGGAAGGTTGTCCCTGAGCTAACATCTGTGCCAGTCTTCCTCTGTTTTGTATGTGGGACACCACTACAGCACAGCTTGATGAGCGGTATGTAGGTCTGCACCTGGGATCTGAACCTGTGAACCCCAGGCTGCCAAGGTGGAGAGAGCCAACTTAACCACTACTCCACTGGGCCAGCCCCTCCTCCACCTTTTTAAAACTAGTTTATTTGCCTCATTGAGTTGTGAGAGTTCTTTATATGTTCTGGATATAAAGCACTTGTCAGGTATATGTATTTGCAAATATCTTCTAGAATCTTGGCTTGCATTTTCACTTCCTTATTGATGTATTTCAAAAAGCAGAAAATTTTAATTTAGATGAAATCCAATTAATCTATCTGTATGTATGTATTTTGTGCCTTTGACATCCTAAGATATCTTTGCCTAACCCAAGATTACAAAGATTTTCTTGTATGTTTTCTTCTAGAAGTTTTGCATTAACTTTTATGTCTTAATGTTGAATCTTCTAGTCTATAAACATTGTATATCTTTCCATTTACTTAGGTGTTCTTTAATTTATCTCTGCATTGTTTTGTAGTTTTCAGAGTACAGATCCTGTACATATTTTGTTAAATTTATCCCTAGGTATTTTGTGTTTTTCCATGTTGTTGTTAAGTGGTATTGTTTTTAATTTTAATCTTTTTGCTCACTTGTTGCTAGTATATAGAAATACAACTGATTCTTGTACTTTGACTTTGTATTCTATGACATTGCTAAATTCACTTATTAGTTCTAGTTGTTTTAAATGAAAGTTTAGAATTTTTTATGTCATGTCATATGTAGATAAACAGCTTTACTTTGTCCTTCGCAATCTGTATGCCTTTTAATTTCTCTCTCTTGCCTGACGGCGAGGACTTACAGTATGGCGTTGAACAGGAATTGTAACACTGGATACCCTCACCTTATTCCCAGTCTCAGGTGGAGCATCCAGCCTTTTTACCAGTAAGTGTCATGTTGGCTGTACAGCACTGTTTTGTTTTGTTTTGTAAGCGCCCTTTATCAGCTTGATCCTAGGTTCTTGAGAATTTTTATCGTGAATGGATGTTGAATTTTGCTAAATGTTTTTCCTGCATCTATTGATATGATCATATGGTTTTTTCCCTTTAGTCTGTTAATATGGTGCATTACATTAGGTGATTTTCAAATGTTGAGGCAGTCTTGCCTTCTCTGGATAAACCCCACTTGGTCAGGATGTATTATCTTTTTTATATATTGCTTGATTTGCTAATATTTGGTTGGGAATTTTTTGTTCATATTCGTGAGGGATGTTAGTCTGTAGTGTTGAAAGAACTTTCTAGGGCCAAGATGGAGCTACTCCTGCCTGGCATGCTACATCAACACACTCAATCTCAGATAACATTCACATCCCGGTAAATGTTTTCCTCTTTGTTCCCCTTTATCTGCACTCTATAAAAACTAGTCATTCCATTAATAATTTTCCTTCAGATATCAGTCACATTATGAGAGATTAGATGATATCTTTTGTTTTTTCCACATCTCTCTCTTGGCTGTATACCCCCATCAGCTTGCATGTTTCTCTAGCATCTTCAGCATCACATTTACTAATCTCTTCACATAGACACTTTGGAGATGGCTAAACTTATTCATGCTATATTATTACCCTGGGCCACCTCGATTCAGTCCCCTGATATGCTTACTACATCTCAAATAGTTTTTTCTCAACTGAAAAACCATCTGTTAATCCTTCAACCGTGTTAACTAGTACCACCTGTGCTCTCTCCAGTTCAAAGGAACGTCTGAAATCATGGAAGGAGGAGCTGGAAGGGCCTTTAATCTTGTCCACCCACGAGAAAGGCAGTATTGTAGGCAGTTTAGTAGGGTACAGAGAGTGCGCCCGTGTTTTGGAGGGCACTACACACTCTACCTGATGAATTCTCGCTATTGAATTGCTATTCCGTCACATGTGCACCCTGGCTGTGAAGAACCTTGGCAGTGCCAAGTCCATCCCTGAATAATGCTTTTGGTTAGTAGTAGCTGAATAACCAGGGACAAATCTCTCTGAGACTTACCTTCCTTGTCTGTAAAATGAAGAAACTGAAGATCTACTTTGCAGGGTTATTAAGAGAATAAAATAAGTTGGAATAGAAAACACGGAGTAAATCGTAAAGTACTTTTTATTTTGGCTTTGGAAGAGCATTGAACAGGAAGGAAAACAATAAATAAATGTGAGAATCACTCAGTTCTTACATGGGCTCCCATGCCAGAAAATATTAGCTATAACTAAAAGGAATGTCTTGGAAGTAAGAATTTCCAGTATTTTAAATTACGAGTGCTATTTGCTAGTTAAGCCATCATTCATTACCCTACAGGAAAAAGCCGTAAAGCAATGCTCTCAGACAGAAGACTGTATCTGCTTTCAAGAGATTATGAAGAAGTTAATCATCTAGTTGTCCTTCAAGGCATGTGTTACATAAGGTAACTTAGAAAATGGGAGGTACTGAAGGACCTGTGAAAATACTATAGACCCACTTAAAAAGTGTATGAGCTAGCATATTTTTCAATTTATTTGCAAGGCTGGCTTAATGACTATGGCATGATATCAGTGGTTACTCTCATGATGCATTAAATATATAGCTTTAAATTATTTTTACAACTTAAAACAAAATTTTGTAGTCATTTAGTTCAACAAACATTTATTGAGGATATGATAAGTAATCAAAGATGGTCCCTGTCCTCAAGGTGCTCATTGTCAAATAGGGAAACAAACATGACAAGGCAGTGGGATATGCTAGGACGGAAGTATACGCAGTGTTCTGGGAGCCCTGCCGGGACGGTGGGGTGGCGGGTGTAGGAATAGGGAAGAAATGTCAAAAAGGCTACCCAGAAGCAGCAATGTTTCGGCTGAGACTTGAAAACGTCAGTGTCACGAGGGAGAAAGGGCAAATGGAAGAGCATGTCAAAAGACAGGAGACATGAGAGAATGTGGTGTTTTCAGGGCCCAGGGTGGATCCCAGGATGAGTCAAGGCAGAAAGAAATGGATAACCTTTGACAGAAATAAGGAACGAATATTGGCTCTATGATATTAATTACTTCCCTTTTAGCTGTTTACTGTTTTTACATTTCTTTAGAAACAATTTTATTTATAATCTTATTTTTTTCCAGTCACCCCTATGTTACATGTAGAAATATTATCATGCCTGTTCACTGATGAAACATATTAGGAAAAGTGAAAATATGTATTCTTTAAAGTCCTTCCCTTTTAAGGATTTTGCATTGATTAAAAGTTTTGACTATCAATAACAGCTGATGGGTTCTATAAAACAAAGCATTACCCAAGGAGCGGTAAAATTATATTATAAATATTTGAACTCCCATCATTAGTTTCCTATCAGTGAAAGATTTATCATAATTTTCAACAGTTATGCCTTCAAAGTCCTTGTGAGACGTCAGACACCCTTTGTGCAGATGATGAAACTGAGGTAAAGAGCTCTCCTCGGTGTCAGTGTGAGAGACTGGAGCATGGGAGGGAGATTATTGCTTTTGATTGAATCAAGCGTCTTAATCCCTCCTTATACCAGGACGTTTCAGTTTCTTTTGTGAGTCCCAAAGTGGGAAGTGTTTTGCGATTTGTTCTTCTATGCACTGGAAACCTCTCACGTGATAGTCATAAAGTGCTCAGAGTGAGTGGTACTGTCAGAAGCGGGAGCCGGGGCTGTCTCACTGCTCAGTTTAGCAGCCTGGATCTGCAGCATTGATTATTCATGACGAAAGGATTATGGGGCTGGTTTATATTCTTCAGAAGTCAGAGGATATGATATGTGCATTTTGCTTTTTAAAAATCACAATCAATCAACTGTCAGAAGCGTCTTCACTGGATTCTTCTTGTACAGAAAGTATATAGCTTCCTTCACTCCAGCTGGTGCACTTGACAATACTGCCAAAGCAAACAAGACATTTTAAATTTGTGACCAAGGCAATACATAACTAATTCCATCTTTTTCCTGGTTACATGGCTTTTAATGAGTTAGGCAAATTATGCACAGAAGCAGCATACTGGTATTTTGAATCCCACTGACTCACTATGCACAATGTTCTGAAAATAACAAAAAACTACATGAATTCTTTCTTTTCCAGATCCCTAAGATGTCCATCTATCCCACTGTCTGCTCTGTGTAGTTCACACAAAATAGTTAAAACTAAAGCTATTGCTGAAGTTCATGTTCAACAGCTAAAACTGAAGCTAAGACAGGAAGACACCTGGAAATAATTGAAATAACAGGTAATTTTTAAAATATTGAACAGTATAGGATTAAAAAAAAACCTCAGAAAACTATCTACATTTATATTATTAGAAGTATTATGAAAAGGATAATGAACTACCTTTTATTCATCTGCATTAATTTTTCTAATTATAAAAGTAATAAATGTTCATAACAGAATATTTATAAATATGTGAAGAATAAAATTAAAATTACCGATTATTCTACTCCCCATGTATGTGCAATTCTTTTTTTTTTGAGGAGGATTAGCCATGAGCTAACATCCGTGCCCATCTTCCTCTACTTTACATGTGGGACGCCTGCCACAGCATGGCTTGATGAGCGGGGTGTAGGTCAGCACCTGGGATCTGAACCTGCGAACCCCGGGCCGCTGAAGTAGAACGTGCAAACTTAACCGCTGCGCCACCAAGCCTGCCCCTATGCAATTCTTATTAAAGTCATTTTACATGATACGGATGCACCATCTTTTATTTAACCACTCTCCTATTGTTGGCCATTAAAAAACTTTTTTGCCGTAATGAACCTCTTTATATATAAATTTTTTGACATTACTGATCATTCCTTAGGACAGGTTTCTGAAGAACCCCTGGGTCAAATACTATGAACTTCTTAATAAAAAGCTTTTGATACCTGTTCATGAATTGCTTTCCAAAAATGATAGTGCTGATAACACTACTACCAGCAACATGTAAGACTGATTGTCTCATCATGTGCTCACTAGCACAACATGTATTTTTAATTTTGCCAATTCAATAGATGAAGTCACTTTTTTAAAAAGATAACTAGTAAAAATAACTTTTTGTTAAAATTACAGAGGAACTGTAAATACTATTCTTTTCTTCTTCTTCTCTCCAAAGCCCCCCAGTACATAGCTGTATATCCTAGTTGTATGCAAATACTCTTGTACTCTGTCTCATACAGATCTAGGTATCCGAATTCAACTGAGACAATGTATTGAGGTCCTAATATGAATAAGACATGTGCCCACCCTTTAAGGGGTTTACAGTCTTGGTAGAATGCTTGAAGCCTGAGAGCACAGGTACTGCTTTCCCTTACTCACAGCCCCACCACAGTACCTAGGAGAAAGCAGAGATGCCTGACTGTTGGGCCCCACCTCATACTGACTCCCATCCCCATGCTATGCTGTCAGCCACGTGGAATGGGCAAAGTCCAGCAGAGAGAGGTTAATGAGCTCTCAGCTCAATGCTTGGGCCCCACAGAATGCGTCAGATATATTTACTTGGGCATTTTAGCAACCATATATCTAGTTGACTTACATGTTTTGTTAATCAAAACAAAGGGAGAAATAAACATTTCCCTTAAGTCTATGCCTCTGGTCTATCTTTTTACTCTGTGTACTATTCATAAATAGAATTTTGTATGTTGTATATATTGGGATATTTTACATTTACAAAGAGTCATTAAACAAGCCAACTCTTTGGACCGAGAATTCTTCATAGTCAGCGCATGCTCTCTGCTCTTGACATTTATTCACGAGTCCAGATTAAAGGATATCTTCTTAAAGTCATCTTTGACCATCAGGGGATAGTATACTCCAGGAAATCATAGTTTGAATATATTCCCCTCTATTCTTAGATGCTAATTTAATCAATTGTTCATATTTAAAGAGACGGGGGGCGACCTGTCAGAGCCTCTATCTAACCCAATCTTTCTCTCTCCTAGTTCTCGTTGGCTATGTCATTGTCTCTTTCTTCCTAAGTCTCCAAAATTATCGGCAGATATCTTCATGTCTAGGAGTTGTTGAGAAAAGTACATTCTGAGGCAAAACTTCAACAGATCTATGTAATTTTACTGGTGAGGTTAGGCAATTCATTTAATCCAGGTGTCCTTTGATAAAATGATTGAAAATAGTTACATACCATAGACTGATTGCTGGAATTAGTAATAGAACAGCAGACAGCAGAAAGGTGAAGCCTGGGTACCAAGCAACAGTGGCTGAATAAATTCCATTAAAAGTAGAAACTGCAGCGACTCCGCCAAGTGTTTCTAAGAAAGCAATACAGGCAAACAGGGTACCTGTTCGGGATTGGGATGTGGAGGGAGAAAAAGAAAAGGCTGAGTTACAAAACTGAGCAAAAACTAGTGGAGAAAACTGTTACGCATTGAAAGGAGCAAACAGGGGGGCAGTGCTTGATGGATGAAAGCCATTCCCTCAAAATCCCTGAGAAGTCAGTAACCCATTTGCAGGAGAAGAAACTGAGGTCAAGAGTTCTCCTTGGGCCTGATGTGAGAGATGCTGAAAACACAGTACAGCCGTGTACCGCTTAACAATGGGGACACGTTCAGAGAAATGCATCGCTAGGTGACTTCGTTGTTGGGTGAACATCATAGAGCGTACTTGGGCACACCTAGGCTACGGGATCACTGTCATATATGAGGTCCGTCGTTGACCTAAATATTTTCATGCGGCGCGTGACTGTAGTTCCAATGTCAATAGGGCAAAGCTAAAATGCAACAGCAGCTGGCACATTTGAAATCTGCAGTGTCTCCCTCCCTGTCACAGCCTCAGGCATAGCCACAACTACCCATGATGTTCCGGATGCACTCTCCCACTCTCTATCCCCACACTCATCTGTGACACACCCTGTATGGGCAGGACGGCTCTCAGTGGGCAAAACCCTCCCCACCAGAGGGCTTTTGAAAGACAATCATTTTCATCTGCTTCTAGGATCTGGCAAGAGTGACAGCTGCAGGGGGCCAGCCTGGTGGCACAGCAGTTAAGTTCGCATGTTCCGCTTCGGCGGCCTGGGATTTGCCAGTTTGGATCCTGGGTGCGGACGTCCGGACCACTTGTCAAGCCATGCTGTGGCAGGCATCCCACATATAAAGTAGAGGAAGATGGGCATGGATGTTAGCTCAGGGCCAGTCTTCCTCAGCAAAAAGAGGAGGATTGCCAGCAGATGTTAGCTCAGGGCTAATCGTCCTCAATAAAAAAAAAAAAAAAAAAAGAGTGACAGCTGCAAGAAAAGAGAGATGATCTTCTTATCATACTTTCTGCAGTTTGAATTTGATTCCTCCCCTCCAAAGTGACAACAAATTCAGTCACCACAACGTTCCTGTATGTTGGACTCATCAAGTAATTACCCTGTGCTCTAGTGAAGGTTATGCCACAGTTTGACGTTAAGTGATTCTTTAAAACATATTTTTCTGTCTTACCTGCTTGCAACTGCCTGCACAGTGAAGTGGCTTACGAGACTGAAAGGAGCGGGGATCTGCTGCCCATCACACTTGCTACACACCAAGTTTGGTAGAGGGTAGGCCGTGGAGCATCACTCAAGAAGCGTGAAATGGCTGCACGGTGAGTCCAAGTTCACGGTCAGAGAAATGGTCATTATTCTACTAATTTTTAGTTTTGTCTGGAATCCAAGACAATATTGACTGAAGAGTTAAACCTCCAAAAGACAGGCTGGTCATCTTGCTGGACCTTTCTTCCTCTTTGTCAAGTTTTACATCACTATATAAAAAAGTGTGTGACCGTCTTCAGCTCTCCATGCCTTCCTCAGTGTAAGTTTCTATGTAGTTTCTGCAGACTCTGCCATTAAGCTGTTGTACTTCTTCCCTACTTTGCCAAGTCTACTTTTCCATGATAAATTGTAATGCATTTTTCTCATAAACACTGCAAGTTGGGTAAATAATTGTGTTTGATTGCACTGATAGAAGGGAAAAGGAAGGTTGAGGGTCAGCTTTCATAACTGGGCTGTGGTTTACATGTCTATACTCTGATTCTCCCCATGGCCTTGATCTTTCAGACTCTTCACTCTATTATACATATTCTCATACATTGCTTCAAATTCTTCACTGAACAATGGGCCACATGTCCATAAAACAAACATCTCTCTGCAGAATGCTATCTTGTCATTTCTGCTTCTTTTGACCAAAATGAAATCTCCGTCAACACCAAGTGCACATCTGCTTTGTTCACCGCTGTGTCCCCGGGCCAAGCTGTCCTAGCACATGGTAGATGTTTAAGATGTATTTGTCAGATGAACGAATAAAAGCTTCGTTCAAAGGCACAGTTATCAGTCATCAAGTAGCATATAGGCTTACTTCCTCCAGGATTTATGAGACTGCATGAAGTCGGTTTAATTAGGAAGAAGTTCTCCTACTTGTCTAACCAGGTTATTCTTTTATTTTATGTCTGATCCCCACTACGGCCAGGGATAATGCCGTGGAGGACAGCCTGCACAGGACTCATCCTGTAAGGCAACGGTGCAAATCCATTCTCGCCGGGAGGCTGCTCAGGCAGTGTTGTGTTCTGACGCGAACAACCAGACTATCATGAAGTAGCTTTAGCTTGTCTTTGAACTTCCCTGAGCAGTCCAACTTGTTTAATGGTTGGACTGTATTGGATTAAATAATAAATACAATTTAGTTTATTTCTAAACTTTGTTTAATCCACTAGACCTCAAAAATCAAGTCTGCTTTTACAGTGCTCCACTTTATAATCATGAGGAGGACACAGGTGATACCGAGGGGTAGTCCAGGGTGGCTCTAGCTGTGGGTTTCACAGCTGAGGAGAGCAAATCCAGTGTCCTCCCCTTCATTTCTTTTTTTTAAAGAATTTTATTTTTTTCCTTTTTGTCCCCAAAGCCCCCCAGGACATAGTTGTATATTCTTCGTTGTGGGTCCTTCTAGTTGTGGCATGTGGGACACTGCCTCAGTGTGGCTTGATGAGCAGTGCCATGTCCATGCCCAGGATTCGAACCAACGAAACAGTGGGCCGCCTGCAGCGGAGCGCGAGAACCACTTGGCCATGGGGCCAGCCCCCCTCCCCTTCCTTTCTTAAGCTAACAGAGATGGTGAGAGACATCTGTAAACCTCTGCAGCATCTCCCTTCTCCTCTGATTATTTTAAAGTGCGTAATGTTTTCACAAAAATATCCATTTTTAAAAAATAATGAAGGATGAGAATACATTCAGTTATGGAAATTTTGACACCATCAAAAGAATTTCTTAGGGGCCGGCCCCGTGGCCAAGTGATTAAGTTCGCGCACTGCACTTCGGCGGCCCAGGATTTCGCCGGTTCGGATCCCAGGTGCGGACATGGCACCGCTCATCAGGCCATGCTGAGGCAGCATCCCAAATATAAACAAAAATAAACTACACATTCTGACAAAGTCTATTTTAGCTCTCAAAGCAAGTAGCATTTTCTTTTTTTCCCTGAATAGCTTTATTGAGAAATAATTCACATACCATAAAATTCATTCTTTTGAATTGTACAATTCAGTGGTTCTTAATATGTTCCCAGAGTTGGGCAACCATCACCACCATCTAATTTTAGAACATTTTCCTCATCCCCAAAAAACCCTCTGTACCCAACAGCAGTTCCCCTTCTCCACAGCCCCAGGCAAGCACTAATCTAATGTCTGTCTCTATGGATTTGCCTATTCTGGACATTTCATCTACTGAAATCACGTTTATACAATAATATGTGGTCTTTTGTGACAAGCTTCTTTCATTTAGCATAATGCTTTCAAGGTACATCCACGTTGTAGCATGTGTCAGTACTGTACTTCTTTTTATTGCAAAATAATATTCCAGTGGACAGATATACCATCTTTTGTTTATCCATTCATCAGTTCATGGACATTTGCATTGTTTCTACTGTTTGACTGTTATAAATAACTGTGCTATGAACGTCTGTGTACAAGATTTTGTGTGGGTATATGTATTCCCAAGAGAAATGAAAAAATCTTGTAGACAGTCATAGCAGCATTATTAGCATATACCTAGGAATGGAATTGCGGAGTCGTAACTATTTAACTTTCTGAGGAGCTATCAAACTGTTTTGTAAATTGGCTGCATCATTTTACATTCCCACCAGCAGTGTATGAGGGTTCCAATTTCTTCACTTCTTCAACACATCTTTTTCATTTTAGCCATCCTAGTGGGTCTCAGTGTGGTTTTGATTTGCATTTCCCTGATGGATAATGATGTTGAGCATCTTTTCCTGTGCTTATTGGCCATCTGCACCTCTTTTTGGGAGAGATAGCTATTCAAATCTGTTGCCCATTTTTTAATTGGATTGTTGAGTTTTAAGAGTTCTTAGACATTCTGGATACAGGTTCCTTATCAGATATTTAATTTGCAAATATTTTCTCCCTTTCTGTGGGTTGTCTTTTCACTTTCTTGATGGCGTCCTTAGAAGCACAAAAGTTTTTAATTTGGATAAAGTCTAATTTATCTATTTTTTCTTTTCTTGTTATATTTTTGGTGTCATATCTAAGAAACCATTGCATAATCCAAAGAAGCAAGTAGAGTTTTACATACTATAGTTTTTATATCCGAAGTGGCTTTCCAGTTACTCATCATCACACAATCTATAAACAGCTGTGTGAATATACAGCTGCATCTTATGAGTGGAAAAGAATCAAGAAACGTATTTTTTAACTTACTGAATTATACAGTCTTCTCCAGTGTTGACTAAACTGCCATAAATACAATAGCATAATTATGAATTGTTCATAAACAATTAATATGAACATTTGCACTAGGCTAAGACATAAAACAAAAGAAAGCTCCAAAGTCTGATAATACTCATGAAACAGAGGGGAAGGAGGACGTATGCCCAACATCTCACTAGTTCTAACTAGAAATTTCATTTTTGTTTTTCTCCTGTACCTCTGTTTTCTCTGCCCTCCCCTTCGACTGTTTGATGTGCCCTGCTCTGTGCTTGGGTGGCTGACTCCACAGATTATATGACTTGAACATCTTGCTGGCCTGACTTCCCATTGCACTTGGTCGATGGGATCAGGGCAGAGAGAGAGGCTGTGATGTTTCTTCTCTGCTCCCGCCCTATTTGGGCCAGGCCGTCCTCTCTGGATGCCTCCATTCTGCCCACTCCTCTCTACTGCCCTTCATTAAAGTCTCTTTACTGAACCAGCTGAGTGGGATCCTGCTTTTGCTAGGCCTCTGATTCAGGCCCAGCTCTAACATTTGTGAGGTCCAGCATAAGAATACAATTAGAGGCCTACGAATTATATTCTAACTATTTAAAAGTTGGAATTGTGACTAACAAACTGTTAACTAAGATATGTTCTTCCTCCCTACTCTGAGAAATATACCTTCATGATGATTTGAAAGGTCAGATACAAACTCAGAATTCTCAGACTTTTTAGAGTTCCATGTGGGAACATGACAGCACTGGGAGAGCTGGCCCTGGGCCCTCAGTTTCCAGCCTGCAGGCTGCAGCCCACCCACATTGTGTTTGACCTCTTGCTCCATCCTGCTCAGAAAGGGTCGTTTACACATGGGGGTAGACGCCACACTCTGCAACTCCAAGGTTGGGCTGACCCTCTTACAAAGAGTCACCACTTGGCCACCCATTTGGTCTAGAGGTGAGCACATTGGGATCATAGTCCACCCTCAGGAAAAATGGCCTAAGGAAGAGGATCATCAAGGCACTCACCGGATGTGAGCTCAGAGCTGTTTGGCTGGGAATTATGGGGACCCAGGTACCCAAAGTGCAGTCTAGAAGAGGAGAGGTGTTGTGGGCTCCCAGTGGGCATATCAGCCTGGCTCTGAGGTCTCTTCACCTCCTGGGGCAGGGCATGTCCAGAGCGAGCCTTCTAAGGCACGAGGCCCTGGGCAGGGGCTCCCTTGCCTGAATATACACCTCTTCCTAATGTAGAGCTTACCCCTGAATTCAAAAGGAGTTCTGTGCAGGAAAAGGGTTGTAGAATATTCTGAAGAATCAAGCATTGATCTTACATAGATTTGAGTTGGTACAGATTATAGATTTCATTATTCCTTAAGCAAATCAAACTCACCTTGTTCAGTAGAATGAACCACTTTTGACATCATGGACCGCAGAACAGAGAGCGGCACAATAAGGAAAAGGAACGGCAGTCTGACTGTGAGAGAAACGACTGAAGTCACTGGCTCAGTCAGAAAACTAAGGGCCAATTTTAAATGTGAAACACTTTCTAAATACTTTATTTTCGATAAGCATCCCAACTCACCGCACCTAAAGACTGAATTAATTAATTGCAGAATTCTGTTTAATCAATTAGGATAGACTATAGATAGGTCAGTTTAAGGAAAGTTTATTCTCTTCTTCCAGTGAAGAACAAGAGTTCATGGAAATTTTAGGTCCAGATCTATATAATCTGCCAACTGGGGCTGATCTGCTATTTCCCTAATTATTGTAGGAACCTCTTATTTAGGAAGTTGTGACTGTCAACTAGTTTTTTTGTTTGTTTTCTGCTTTTGCTTTTTCAGACTTGGCGTTCTTCATGTTGGCATTCTTTTATTATATTGATTCACTTCCTGATAAACCGGTTCTTAATCTTCTCACATGTTCACTTCTGTGGCTCAATAATTTCATGAACACAAATTGCCTCTGCTCTTAAATTCTGACCCTCACTAGTCTCTAACATTTTCAGTTATATGATAAAACAGTAATATATTACATTTGCAGATCACTTTAAAGTTTTCAATGTGTTTTCACATCTATTAACTTACTTGGCCTTGGCACCCTAAGGGAGATGGAGAACTGGCATCTATTGAATACTAGGCATTGTGCTAGGGACAGTTATCTCTTCTAACATTCATTATAACCCTCTGAATTAGGTACTACCGTGCCCATTCGATAGATGGGAAAATGAGAGCTCAGGCCAGTTAAGTAACTTGCCCACCATCACCTAATGCTACAGATGGAAATGAAGCCCGATTCTGTTTGTCACCCTGCTTCCCTGCAAGGGAGCAAGAGGGTAACTCTACCTTTGTAGAAAAAGACTAAATTGGACCTTTCCCAAGGTCCCTTTACAGAACGTTTAGCCCTTCCAAAATGCAGGATTTCTCTGAAGCCCTACAACAATCACTTAGGAGACAGGTAGTTAAGGAAGCAGTCCAATTTGCCACAAAGCGATTCATCAAAAGCCAATTCCTGAAATGACCAACTTGCTGAAAGATCAATTTGCAAAATCCTATCGTAAAGAATTTTCTTTTTGAATATATTCAACAAATACATATTTTTCTTACAAATCTTTTGAGTATACTTTATTTAATTGTCTTAAAATGTTTTATGGAAGGTAGCCTTCTTAGCAGCATTTTAAGAAATATTCAAGTTGCTGAAAGCTATACTGAAGAACTAATTCACAAGAAGAACGTTCCTCAAAATAATTTTTTGACAAATTCGCAAATTTGGAAAATTGTGATTATTCAATGAACTGCTTTTAAAAAATAAATTGGCTTTCAGCTCTGGCAAACTAGCTTTTAACAAATTACCTTTAATTGAACTAGAATGCATTAAATAGAGAATTTTATATTAAAGTTTTTCATCCAACAGACTAAATTCATTTTATATAAACATTGAATACATGGTTAGTTCTAAGGCTATATTTGTAACTCACCTAAAAGCATCATCAATGTTGTTCTGGAAAAAGCGGTCATAGCCATTCCCGCTGTGGTGGTAAAAATTCCAATGAAGGCCATATGAATATCTTCCATACAGTAAGAAAAAATCCATATTCCTAGGAAACTAGTCAAAAAAGACAGACTACCCAAAGCTGAACCATAACCTATATAAACTTCATTCCAGCAGAGTGGTGAATCCAACTCATAAAGGATAAAAATGGGAGCAGTGCCAATCACCACGAGAAAATAAGTGATCATTGTAAAAAGTAACAAACAGAGCAAACACCGTCGCTCACCAGGAGCATTTTTAAAAAGCAGGTAAGCTCGGTAAAATAGGTTTTTAAAGCTTTCACTACAGGATGTGGAAACATTCTGAGATGAAGACTGTTTCATTGAATCACCAAGAAAAAATAAAATATAAATCAAGTTAACAAGATGAGCCATAGAAATAATTAAAAACGACCACACAAAACCTAGTTCTCTAATAAAATAGCCAGAAGACAGTCCTGTTAATCCAGTAACTAGTCCAAGTAGGAAGTCAATTATAGCTATTCGAATTGTTCTTTGTTTCTCTTCTTTACACTGATCAACTATGTAGGCAAGACAGGCTCCAAAAAATGTGGTATAATTGCCACAAAGTGCACCAATGAAGGTAGATGCAATCAAAAGCTGGAATGGGAAGGCAAAATAGGAAAGCAAACAGAGCCAAACATTAGTTGCCAGGGCACCGACAGAGGCCAAAATCAAAGGGAATTTTCGTCCCTGCTGATCACTATGAGACAAAAGTAGGAACGTAGACACTAGACCAGGAATTAACCCACTTATGTCCATCTGCAGATTAAAAAGAGACACTTTTTTCTGAACTTCCTGCAAAGAAATAAAAAGAAGACAATGTGTTTACAGAGGGTTAGACAATGTAAAAATACCACGGTGCATACTTTTCCTGACAGTGCCAGTGGGTCAGGGATGGGGAATGTCTGGTGCATGGGTTTGCTACAGCTTAACTCTTCATCCAGTTCACAAAGCAAATATCAAGAGGTGAAATAATCATCAACGCTCAGTCTTAATGTTCAAGTACTATGGTGGGGACTTGAACCCATAAAAATAAAAATGTGTGTATTGATGTGTGTCTGTCTTCTATAAAGGATCCATAGACCCCAAGGCCTCTGGGACTGGCCATATAAGGATTTTTCTTTCTACTATGAACAGTTAGCACTAAGACATCATGACCACTGTTCTAAAGCAAGAGCAATACCCTTTCTCATGATATGTCTTTCTGTCCACTTTAAAGGGGAGTGAATATCACATGTAATGTCATATTTGATAGGCCTTTATTTAGGAAGAGCCCAGTTGCCCTTTTTACATGTGTCTCCACAGATTAGTGAGAAACTTATTCCTTTATTTACCAAAAATTAAGATAAAATACAAAGAGGAGCTTTGCATTGAGTAAAGATGACAGTGTGCCGTGAACTAAGGCATGAGATAAACTCAACTCCCCTGAAGACCAAATGACTATTGTAGGGGAGGAAGACATTTCCTCTACCCTCTCTGGGTTCTTCTGGCCAGAGAATGAATTAAATTCACATGAGACAGAATAACAGGAAAAAATTAAACAAAGCTTTATAACATGTATACATGGGAGAGGCTCAGGCAACCTGAGCAACTCGCCAAAATGGCCGAAGCCACCACCTTAAATATCCTCCTCAGCTAAAGACAAAGGAGGATGTTGGCAGTGGGGGGAGTCAGTTACAGGAGGTTACCAGACAAGTACAGTAAACAAGATGCAGATTTAAGTCCTTGCCTTTGGCATTGATTAAGAGTTTCTAGAGATAAGGTCATCCCCCTTCTTCCTGGTAGAGAGGGAGACACCTTTACAGATGGAGATTTCCTTTACAATGTAAATGTCTCTTAACAAAGGGTAAATAAATTCTACTTTTCAGAGTTGCTTTCCTGTCTGCAGTTTTTTTACGTAACAAGCCCAAAATAATCCTCAGGCCAAAAAGACGTATCTTGGGGTGGTCAATTCCAGTCCCCTACACTATGTACACACACAGATTGGCAGACGTAACAATCATTACACTAGCTATTTGATGGGAAGAATTTTGGGTGATTGAAAGCATTTTCTGCTTGCAACTTCTCCATATTTTTCAAATTTTATATAGAATATGTACCATATTTATAATAGAGATTACTAAGTTCATTTAAAAAAAAGATTCATTCATGTAATGTTTAGAAAGCACCCTAAACAACTAATGAACCACCAAAATATCAAATACTGAATTAACCTTTCTTTAAAATAGTGAGCCTATTTTTATTTTTATATATTCATGTAATTCAAGCAATTCCATGTTGCCGGGAAATGTTCTAGTGACTCAGAACTTCAGTCATCTTGTTTCTAGCCTTTCCCTTCACCCATCCCCCCACAACACAATCTTTCCTGCCCACCCAGTGCTTTTCATACCCTTGACCTTCTTTATCGTCCCATAGATGCCACTGGAATTGCAATCAGACCACTGGACCACCTGGACCACTCCAGCCTCTGACAGTGTCTACTCAATTCAGTATATAACGCCAGGCTTCTCACTTTGCAGATCGTATGCACTAATGCTGGGAGCATCTTGCCAAGGTAAAGGTGTCTTTCACTTGCTTGGTAGCTTCAGTATCTCCCCACTGCCTGCTAGGGAAGTCTACCCTCCTCAGCGCGGTATTTAAGGTGCCATGTGGCCCAACCTCACTTTCCAGCCTTATCCCCAGTCACTCCCCAAATATGCTCTGTGTTCCAGGCGCGGTCCAGGGTCAAGTCCAATTTGGATTTCCCTGATATCCCCAAACAGATGTAATCTCTTCTTCCTCTAGGCCTTCTCATACGACAAGTGTCACTCCCCATTGTACTTTGTGCATAATGATTAAGAGCTTGAGCTCTGGAGTCAGATGAATCTGGATTCAAATCCAGTCACTTCTTTATGCAACAATTAGAATGATCTTTAAAAACACACATCAGCTCACATCACTCCTCTGCTCAGAATCCCCCAGTGGCTCTGCTAACACTGGAATAAATCCACACTCCTTGCCATGGCATTGGCAGCCCACCATCATGACTTCTCTGATTCCATCTCCACTTCCTCACTCCTATCAGCCAACCTGTTGTTCCTCAAACACTCCAAGCTTATTCACTTTTGTACTTACTGTTCCCTCTGCCTGACTGTCACACAGCTCACTTCCTCAATTCAAATGTCACCTCCTCGGAGGGGCCTTCTATGACCAATAACTCAAGCCAAAGCAATCCCACTACCCCCCCAACACTCTATCCCCTTTTCCTACCATATTTTTCTGTGGAGACGTACCTCTCCTTGACAGGACCCTTGAACTGACCTACTCATGGTATGCCTCCACCACTACAGCCTACGCTCCGGCAGGGTCAGAACCTGGTCTTCTACCAGGGACCACCAGCTCCAAGAGCAATGCTTCCCAGGGCAAGTACTCAATAGATATTGATTGGATGAATGAATAATCAAGTAAAATAAGCCTCTGTAACTTGCTAGCTGTGTGTGATCCTGACCAAATTATGGATCACTGCAGCTTCCTCATCTGACAAGAGAGGTTAACAACAGTCCCTACCTTGCAGGCTGTTGTGAGAGTTAAATTTAAAATAAATAAAACATGCTGGGACAAGGCCCTAGTATAGGGTCAGTGCTTCATCAATTGTAGCTGCTTCATTTTTAGTAGATCAGACTTCTTGAGCACATCCTTGTGTCTCCTACAGATACGGTAGGCATCAAGTGAATATTTATTGAATAAATAAACGAAACAGGTACCTGTTAATCAACGTTTCAATAAGATGTTCCAGTTTTGGTTTCCTCCTCCCATTTCTACCCCTTCACCCAAGTCCTGGCATTTCCTTTCCATCTACTATCATTCCTAACCCAATCTTTTATACAGACTACTCTCCTCACCTGTAGCCTATGTTTTAAAACACAGATTTTAAAGACAAACTCAAAGCAGATTTCAATCATACATCAAAATTGAGACATAAACAAATCGTTGTATGTGTCTATACCTTTTAAACTCTGGAGAATTCTAATTGTATAATACATAAGGGTAGATGGGAGAAATCAAAGTAAAAAAAATGCTATTTCCTCTCCAAGACTGAACAGAATGACAATGTACTAAGACAGGAATAAATTAAGGAAAGTAATATCAATTTTAAAGAAGCCACAATTTCATAGGCTAAAATGTATACATTAATTCCAACTGAGTAGAAAATATTCCTGATCTGCTAGTAACAAGGGATTGTGTTAGTTATTAAAAGGTTCATAAACAATTCCTGAGCAAGAACAACTTCATACTCTGTCTGGTAACCCTAAGTTGTCCCCTCGAATGGCAGAGTCCCTCTCTTGAGAGCTGCCTGAAGAGAATGGACCCCAGTGGCCAAGTTAACACTTCAAAGTGAATCATTTAACAAGGGAAAGAGGGAGTGGTAAGGAGCTTAAAAATTCCTTCCTCCACAGAAGTCCACACCTCTGCTCTGAGCCAAGAGCTCCTTCCCACAAGATAGATTAGATCAATGTTTACGCATATGAATATATATATCTTAACTCCAAATGGGTTGAAAAATAAGCTTTTCATCCATATAGACTTCCAAAGTATTAAATATAAGTGAAATATCTCAGTTTATTCTTATATCTGTACCCTGAAATTCATATTATCTTGCATTCCAATACCTATGTACATGTATGCGTGTATATATATATATATATTTTAAGATTGGCACCTGAGCTAACATCTATTGCCAATCTTCTTTCTTCTTCTTCTTCTTCTTGTCCCCAAAGCCCCCCAGTACCTAGTTGTATATTCTAGATGTAGGTCCTTCTGGTTGTGCTATGTGGGGTGCCCCCTCAGCATGGCTTGATGAGCAGTGTCACGTCCACACCCAGGATCTGAACCAGCAAAACACTGGGCCACCGAAGCGGAGCACGTGAACTTAACCACTCGGCCACGGGGCCAGCCCCCATGTGTGTATATTTGTTATGTAGGAAGGATAAGTAAATATGGTATAACAGTATGAACGTGATCATATAATGGACTTTTCTTACACACAATTGATCTCTTGCGAGAGTGGCAAGAAAAATCTGAGCTGAAAAAAATCACTAATTTATTTTATTGGAGGCTGACCCTGTGCTATGGCAGCTCTCATTTTTAGGGTTACAAGAACAGTGCACAACCCCTAACCTTCCGGCCCACCCAGCAGAGCTGAGTACTGAGACAGAAGCTCAGGGAACAGGGGACATTTGTTCTTGGATTTAAAGGGAAGAGAATATTCCCTGGAAGTGAGCAGAGACAGTATCCAGAAAAAGGGCTGGACGGAAGTGCTGAAGGCGATGGTGGTGTCTCCTGGGAAGCAAAAGCGTTCCTCTGTCCTAAGGAGCAAGGGGGGAGTGGGCCACCATGCCCCGGCCCAGTCACGAGCGGGACTCGCCAGGGTTTCCACTTCCTCAATCTGAGAAAAAGCACCTGGAGCTCTAGACCACCAACTTGAAGGCAAGGGATCTAGGCCAGTATGTTCTCTTGAATATTAATCCAATTAAAAAACAATAAATGAAACAGGGTCAATCAATTAAAAACTTTGGCAAAAATCTTCAAAATGAGACCACTGCTCTGAGCAGTGGGGGGCTGTCAGCAGCTGGGTCAGGCTGCAGGTGGGGCCAATATTCATCACCTGCAGTCACAGAGGCCACCAAGGTGGCTGGACCCAGGCCTGCCCCTAGCAGGGCAAGGGCAGCCGACTTTTCCAGACCTTCAAGTCCTGTCCTCCTCTGTCCCTCTCACACTCCCAGGGGTCTGATGAAGGAAGGCACAGAATCAAACACTGAAACTGACAAGCCTATTGAAACTTCTCACTCCCTGGGAATGACATAGATATAACAGAAAACATTCTTCAAGGGAGACCTTTGGCCCAATCTATTTTTATGACCTCCCTCTAGGCCAGAACCTTGATCTCTGCATGGCTGCCCAGAAGTAATCAGTTCCAAGAAAATTTCTCCCATGGAAATGAGGAGATGAGTAACAGCAAGGGCTGTGCCAAACCACCAGGCCTCACAGCAAGGTTATGCCTGATACCTGGGGGAAACACCTCAGGAGGTGCCAGAGCCTTCCTTCTGGGGCCCCTTGGCCATTTCCTCCAGGCTCAGACTCATCTCTCAGTCACACCTGAATTCTCTTCTACTGAGGAGAAAATCTGAGAGCCAGCAGGCAGGTGACTTGACTCCCTTAGACTCTTCTCTACCTTTGACTGGGGAGGCAGTGCCAATCTTTTGCCATAAGATATCCTCAAGGGAAAGAGTTCAAAGTTTAAAACTGAGGTTTGTTTTTGAGGCAGTGTGGGGGAAAAAATTTCCAAATCTGGATGCTACCTCCTTCACATTTAGACATTGGTAGACTTTGTTAAAAACTCCTAAGGGAACAGAAGAATGGTGATGGACCTCCTGTTTTAAAGAAACAAAAAATTAGGGGAGGAGGCTGGAAAGGAGAAGGAAGGCTCTGTAATACCTGGCTGAACATTTTCAGTGTCCTCAGAGCAAAAGTGAATGCTCACCACCCCAGATATCTTCACACAGCTGCTCCTCAGCATGTGGGAGTCAAAGCTGACTTGAAAACACCAAATGACAATGGAACATGCTGCCCCACCCCTCACCCCATGACAGACACTGGCCCCAGGGCCCGCCCCCTTCACTGAGGAGCCATTTTCTGGATTCACTGAAAACTGGGTCACGAACATGCAGTAGAAGGAGGCTGAGAGGAGCGAGCCAAGGAAAGGCAGAACCACATGCATCCCCGTCCACAGGACACTCATGCCACCGAGCTGGGTCCAACTCTCAGGCTGTTTTGGGGGAAGGAGGAAGGAGACAGCCAGAGAGATGAAACTGCACTGAAATTTTCCAAGAGAAAGGAGCAGAGCCTGTGTCACAGAAGAGGAGGAGGTTTTAAGTAGAAGAGGCGCGTTAAAGGTGTCAAGAAACTTCAAACAGGATGAGAACTGAATAAAGCCTCTTGGTCTGGGATTTAGGAGTTTTATGTGACCCTTGAGATCAATGTATGATGAGTGCAATGTCCTGTTTTATTTAAAACCCCATTTCACATACCCTTTTTGTTACATTTTAGAGATATTTTAATTTCTTACCTCCTGGAATGCAAAAATCGGGCTGCTTTTGTTTTGTTCACACTCAGAAATATTGTTGGATACAAAACTGTAGTTGCCAGTTTCTTCCCATACCCTCCTATACACATACTGTGTTGTCAGCGGAGAGGTCAAAGCCATAGCAAATGCACTAAGGCAAATGGCAGGTTCTACCAAAAAAATCTTCATTTTGCTTGGGTAGGAAGCTGAATTCTCTTAAAAAGAAAAAAAGAAAAAAAAGAGAGATCATCAGTTGCATTCTTAGCTGAGAGGTTAGATTTTCAATGACGGGGAAATTAGGAGGAGTTTTGTGGAGTAAACAAGCAAACTGGGGAACAGAAAGCAGTAAGCACGCCCTGAGCAGAGACTGTCACACTTCCCATTTTTAAGAGCAGGACCTGTTAGGGCTCAAAGCGCTTTAAGGTGATTCTTTGAATTAACCTTAATAAGTTGTGACCCCTTTCGGCTGGCCAATGATCACACTACAGCTTCCACACTATACGCTGCCAGCTGCTTTCAGAAGGGAAACATGAGGGTCCTCTGGGGACACAGCCGTTGGCAGCTGTTTGTTTTTGTTATTCTGCCGCATGCTAATAGCAGACAGGAAGGAGGCCTTTTAAAAGGCAGCTCCCAATCGTAGGGGAACTTTTTTAAAACTCACCCCACGGTTACAGCCTTGCTGCCAGGCTAGGCACAGCAGCAAAGGCCCCGTTTAGGGGCCCGCACTCCCGGGGGGCTGTCGCCTCTGGGAGACCCTGAGCTCACAGCGCCTCCCGCGCAGCAGGGGACCCCGGGCCGGCCGCGCCGGGACGCGCAGAGGGGTCTCCCTTGAACCCGATCGGATCCACCTGTCTGCGAGCCGCAAGCCCCTATTTTCAGGCAAACCGAGGAAGGCGCACTTCCGCGTCCACAGTGACAACGGCGACAGTCCGCCGCGCGGCCCTCGCTGGGCTCCTCGGTGGCCCCGCGGGCCGGCCTCGGCGGGCTCGGAGGCGCCGGCAGCTGCTCCCCGGGCGGCGGCGGTGTGGCGGCGGGTCGCGGGTCCGCGGGCGGGCGGGCGTGCGGCCTGCGCTCCCCGTTGACTCAGCCCGCCCCCGGCAGCGCCGCGGGCCGAGGAGGCGGGGCCGCTGGGGGCGGAGGCCACCCGTGCCGTCCCTGCCCGCCCGGCTCTCCCGCGATTGGGCCCCGCGGCCGGCGCCCCCGCGGGGACTGCCCCGCCCCGACCGCGCTCGAGCGCGCAGCCCGCGGAGGCCCCGGCCGCCCCCGCGCCACTGCCGGGTGCTGGGCCGCGCCGCCCGCTCCTGCGGGGACCCTGCGGTTGCCGAGCGTTTCTGGGTCGGAATGTCGTTTTTCACAGAAGCACGCAGGGGATCTGTTGCCAAAGTAACGTGTTTGGGATGCAGCTCCCTGAAGCATCCGGGTCAGCCGGACAAGTGCCCTCAAAAGAAACGCAGAAGGGGCACAGACGATGGGACACCGGGGTGGGTGCGGGAGGGACAGTGAAGAGTCGCTGGCTCTTCCTGGTGGGGTGACCCTGGCCAAATTATTTCATCTCCGTGCGCCTCTGTTTCTTTATCTGTCAAGTGGGGATAACAGTTTTACAGGACTGTTGTAATGAAGCCCTCAGCATCTACACACAGCAGAGCCCTTGACCAGGGGAGGGACGGTAAATGCCCTCCAACAGGCCCACCAGGAAGGCGCCTGATGCGAATGAGTTGGGTTTATTGCTTCTTGTAGCGAGGAGGAATGCGTACACGGGGATCCTCGGGGTATCTCAGTAGAAGGAAAAGGCATGTAGAAGACGTTCTTCTTGTGGGCAGAAAAAATGACTATCCACTGTACTTCCCTGCTTCGCTGTCCCTTCCACATGAAGAAGAAACGCAGGACTTAATTTGTTCTGATGCGTGTCTCTAAGGGGAGAACAATCACTATGCGAGTCTTTTCCTTTTTCTTTTCCAAATATCTTAACTGCTTAAGTATGTATTAAATAAAGAAGCCTTAAGCAACCGTCACTTGGGATCTGTCGCTGTGCTGGACACTGTGGATGAGACGAAAGTTAACACACTATAGTTAATTATCAAAGAAATGTCCATTTATTTGGTAAGAAAAGGTGGAAATACATGAAAGGAATAAAAAATGATTCTAAAACCAAGTCTATGGAGATCACCCCAGAGCAGTAACTACCATTCCCCTCCTGCTGTTCCCCTCAGAGACTCCGAAAGCAAAAGAAAATCCAAGCAGCAAAGGAGGAGTTGCCATTCCTCAGGCATACTCCCCCTGGCAGTGTTCCTGAAAGGAGGGTCAACAGGTGTGTTCTCCAGGGCAGGGTCTCCAGGAGGATTGTGACATTTTATGTTTTCAGTTCAATGACCTGGAGATTTGAACATAAGCATATTCTAAATTATCTCATAATCAAGTACTGACAGTTGATTTCAGTGCCTGTACAGCCCTCCCTTGGTATCTGCAGGGGGTTTAGTCCCCAGATGCCAAAATCTGGGGATGCTCAAGTCCCTTATAGAAATGGTGTAGTATTTGCATATGACCTACACACGTCCTCCCCTATACTTTACCTCATCCCTAGATCACTTATAATACCTAATACAATGGAAATGCTATATAAACAGTTGTTATTCTGCATTGTTTAGGGAATATTGACAAGGAAAAAAGTCTGTATGTGTTCAGCACAGACAGAGCTATAGTAAGCCTTTCAATCCTAGGTTGGTTGAATCCATGGATGCAGAACCTTGGGACGCAGAAGGCCAACTGTATTTGTATTTCTGCTTATGATCACATTGGCTCCAAGAAGTACTTTAATAGTGTCAGACTAACAGGAAAAGTAGTAGACTGAATATATAAATGATATGCCCAAGCTAAGTGAAGACCGAATAATGTCACATCATGTTGTTCAAAATAGGTTTTCATAGTATTCCAATAACAAGTATGAGAGAGCTGAGTTGCCACTGGACATATGAATAGATATAGTGAACTCAGAAGAACCCTTGCTGTCCTGGGCAATGCCATAGTCAAGTGGCAAGGCCAAAACAGAATATAATAACTAGTAGATTTTGTTGGTTTCAAGAAGAAAGTGGCTTTGGCTTTTTTGCCTCTGATAAAATCAGCAATGTAGCATGTGATGAAAAGACCTCATTTACACCAATTACTGCTTAGTAAGTGATTGTTAATACTGTGCTCATAAAAATCTAAGGACATAACTCCAGGCACAAATTGTTGAAAGGAAATGTAATCGCATCATATGACCTTGGTCAATAACCTGCTAAAACAGACCTGAATAGATGTTATCTAGCTGACAAATTCATAACCTGACTTCAACCTTTGTCTGTCCTGACCTCTATTGCCTTGGACACCATTGAACAAATTCCTCCTTTTTGAACTGTTCTGTCTCTTTGGGTTCCATGACTTGACTCTGTCTTTCTACTACATTGAGAGCTCTTTCTCAGTTTTCTTAGGCTCCACCTCAGCTCCTTTCTTCTTCCCAGTCAACCACATCCACATTTGTAACTCGGCTACCGCAAGTATACCAATCATTCCCAAATCTCAAGCCCACCCTCTTCTCTTGGACTTGACACCCAGAGCTTCCACCTTAGTATTTTAAAAAACCACTGCATACTTTTAAATGTCCAAAACAGGCATCATCTTCCTTTTAATCTACTTCCCTTCAGGAATCCCCATTTCAGTCAGTGACATCACCTGTCCAGTCCCCAAAGCCACAGACCAGGAAATCATACAACTTTTTGGTCACCAAATGCTCTAGCTTTTATATCATAAATATAACTGGTATTCTCTATACCTCTTTTAGGTGTGTGGCTGTAAGAAAAGTGGGCCCTTGGATCCAGAGCCGTTAGAATGAACAGCTCTTTTTCAGCCTGGCTAAGGTCAGGGGCTTTGTCTTGCCGTCATCCCATTGGTGAGTGGAATTTGAGGGTTGCAGGAAAGGAGGTGGGCAAATATGCAGAGGGACCAAGGATTTCCCTGGTAAATCAGGAATCCTAACTCTTCCTTTGGGGTTTCAAGTTACTATAACTCTTCTGATGTGCTGGGATGGTCCTAAGTAAGCTGAGTGGTCAGAAATGTGCAATAATGGCCCTCAAGAAGAAATCCACCATGATGGTCGCGATAGGGATGGAGTAGAAGAGCTGGGCTGGGAAGCCAGGGCTAACACCAGGGCTTGTCTTGTCTTAGGGGAACATCAGCTTCCTAACAGAGTAATGATGTTGCACTCTGTCCTGACCCACTACCTTGGACCTTGAGGGTCCTTAAGAGAAATAGTTGATTATCTATAAATGGTAGTATCTGTCACTAGAGTTGTATCTGGGAACATAGCCTCCTATAGTGTGGAGTAACCACTGCTAACCAGGGTCCACCAGCCTCCCTCCAGTCTGTGCAGCCCTGTCTACAGTGGGTAGGCCTTCAGCTCTTAGACCTGAGAGCTGGACTTCTGTTTTCAGTACCATCCTCAAAAAAGCAGAAGTTGGAACCTCAGGTAGTCAGATCAGACTTCTCAATTTCTTTTCTGCACAACAGAAGTAAACAAGATTGACTCATCTGGATGAAGTAAGCACCTTGAGGGGTCTACTTTTTAAGAAAGGGAGAGCTCACAGAATGATGAATGGACTTCTCATAACTGGGGTGGAAAGTTCAAATTTGATTTCTTTGTGTAGTAACTTAAATATGACTTTATTTTCTGCTACAACAGGTGAAATAGGATCTATGTGAAAGTTCCTAGAATAGGATCTAGTACTCAGCAGGTATTCAATAATGTTTGGATTTGAATCTGGATCTTGCTTAATCAGACACACATACTACCATTTTTGAGAAGTTATAGAGAGGAACCTGGCCACTGCTTCAAATTGGCACTTCCTTTTGTGACCCTATAAAGCTACTATCACTTTCCTCTCTTAAGAGGAATCAGTCCCATTTTCAGTGGGGTTGGATGTGAGAGTAGGGAAGGATTTAAAGTCAGCAGAGTAAGTTAAATTCATGTGCACATGACTCCACAATATGACCATGTTTAGGGATTAATCCTCCTCCTTCCCTCTGCAACTCCTTGCCCTAGGCCACATCGTCTCTCATCTGCACTGCTGCAACAGTTTCTTACCTGAGTATTCCTCCTCTACTCTCCAGTCTGTTCTCCACACAGCAACAGAGCATGATCGTCTTTACAGAGATATAGAATCACATCATTCTCTTGCCTGAAACACTTCAATGGCTTCCCCACTGAATTCCAAATCAAACTCAGCCTCTTTGCCATGGCCTGTGTAGGGGAGGAAGACTTTTCCTCTACCTAAATGTGGGTTCGTCTGGCCAGAGAACGAATTAAATTCACATGAGACAGAATAGCAAGAGAAAATTAAACAAAGCTTTATGAGGAACCATGGCCTGGGGCCTCTCTTCCGAAGGAAGAAAGGGCACCGAAGAAGTGGGGTGCACATAGTGGTTATATACCCCCAAACAGGGTGTTTCACATATGATTGAAATGTCCCTCCCACAATAGTCACAAAATTGCCCTGTTGGCACAGCACTTGATGGACACAGCAGATAGTGGGTCTGCTGTCTCGGTGGGCGTGGCAGGAGGCAAGTCTATTGTCTCAAGCTGGGTGGTCACAGGTGAGTGCAGCAATCAGTTCCTAGCCTAAGGAAAGATACTAATCCTTAAAGAAATGCCAATGTTGGGAGGGGGAGGGAAGTCAGTTACAGGAGGTTACCAGACAAGCACAATAAACAAATGCAGATTTAAGTCCTTGCCTTCGCCATTGATTAAGAGTTTCTAGAGACAAGGTCATCTCCTTTCTTCTTCCTGGTACAGAGAGGGAGGCACCTTTACAGATAAAGATTTCCTTTATAATGTAAATGTCTCCTAACAAAGGGCAAGCAAGTTCCACTCCTCAAAGCCTCCTTCCCTGTCCCAGTTTATTAAAAGCAATCAGCCTCAAATAATCCTCATGCCAAAGAGACATATCTTGGGGTGACCATTTCCAGGTCC